TCTCTCTCTCTCTCTCTCTCTCTCTCTCTCTCTCTCTCTCTCTCTCTCTCTCTCTCTCTCTCTCTCTGTCTCTGTCTCTGTCTCTGTCTCTGTCTCTCAGACACACACACACACTGTACACTCAGAAACTAAGTTACAATTACCTCACTGGTTTAATTCACAACAGCCTTGTCACATGCCTGGCTTCAACACAGATTGTGTCATTTTTCTACTGATTCACTTCACTTCTTTTAGAGTCTGTCATGTTTGAATAGTGTTTGCGTTTCGATAGACCTCAGTATTGTCATTCAGTGTGTCGTAGCAGGCTTATAAATGTGAGCTTTGACTTCGCAGGATAGAGGATACCCTGAGGGACCTCCTGGAGCGAATGGGACCTGAAAAGTTCAACTGCAGCTGACAAGACAGAATTCTCCCCAATCTCCATTCAAAGTGCATGTGTCTGGGACACTCAGACAGGAGGAGTAGTGTGGAGGGAGCAGCCCCAGAGAGAGCAGAGAAGACCCAGTGAGGAACATAGGGACTGGAGGCAGTAGAGCAGAGATGGACACAGGTCCTCTGACAGCCATGAGAGAGGGCTCTTCTCCGGAGGGCGAGACTGTGTGTGCCGCGCTCGCCCGCTACGAGGCCACACTGAGGGATGCTGTGCGTGAGATCCACGTGGATGTGAGCGCCTTCAAGCAGGGCGTGGAGCGACGTCTGGAGGGGGCGACGGCCCACACCAGCGAGGGCCCCCTAGGCCGGGCTGTGGCCCAGCTGCAGCAGGAGAACCGGCAGCTCCGGAGCCAGCTGGAGGCCCTTACACATCAGGTAGAGCTCCTCACTGGGTCAGTGTGCGACAGAGGCGCCCTGATGACTAACAACAACAACAACCAGCACCAGCCAGCCTCCATCCAGGCCCAGACACACAGCAGCAGCCAGGGGAGGGCGAGCCCCCAGTCCCCCTCCACCTCCCCCACCAGCCTTGCTGGTGGCCCCAGCATGGGAGCCCTGACCGGGTCAGCCTCGGGCTCGGCCTCCAGCCCAACCGCCGCCCGCTTCTCCAGCCGAGCTACCTTTCGCTGTGTCCAGCAAGACTAACGTGAGTAGCCTTATATACTGAGGAGAATGGGTTGGGGTTATGGGGAACATAGAGGTACATTAGAGCAGTAGACTATGTCATGAACCTCCAGAACTCTAGAATGGGCTGATAATGGCAGCCATCTTGATCAGGGATAAATTAATGTGTTGTATTTAATTCTGTGGTGGTGACAGTATGTGGTTCTGAGAGACTGTCAAGACTGTGCAATGGTTCATCCAGTCTCCAGAGTGTGTTTATACTAAATCATGATATGGGGATTGAATAGACTTTCTTGGCTACTTCACTGGGATGATGTCAGAGCTTTGACAGCGGTGGGGAAACTCGTCATATTCAACTTAATATTTAGACACGCAAGCAGAGTAGATACCAGATGAAAGCAATCAGGATAATTTCCCATCGCTGAACATTTTGGTAGAAGTAATTGCTTATTCTAATGTCCGTCCAATCTCTGCAGTCTGAGAAAGAAGCTGTTCTTGTAGCACTAGATCTCTCTTTCCTGAGAGTGATAGATCATGGGAGGAGTCTCTCTCTCTTTCTCTCTCTCTCCCTTTTTCTCTCTCCCTCTGTGATGAATGGTTCTTTTTCTTTTGCACATATACTGCTATCATGCTGCTGACAACATGTTGCTCATGAATCTTCTCCCACTATTCTCTTTGTTGAGTGGCAACACAGCTTGCGCAACATTTTGAATGGATTCAATCGTGTCCTTCAGTTTTACTAGTAACAAATATAAACACAGTTTCTCACTTACCCCTATCGGGACTGTCATTGGGACATTTGACTAATATGTGAGGGACTGAAGACAAACAAGTGTACTTTGTTACAGTTGATGAAAGCTAATGCTGTCGTAGTTGGTCAGTTCCAAGGTACTGTGCAGTTTGACACTTGTTGATGAGGTTTGGGTGGGAACTCAGTGATTGAGATGATTGTGGACTACAGGGGGGAAAAAAGAGGACTGAGCACGCCCCCATTCTCATCGACGGGGCTGTAGTGGAACAGGTTGAGAGCTTCAAGTTCCTTGGTGTCCACATCACCAACGACCTATCATGGTCCAAACACACCAAGACAGTCGTGAAGAGGGCACGACAAAGCCTATTCCCCCTCAGGAGACTGAAAAGATTTGGCATGGGTCTTCAGATGCTCAAAAAGTTATACAGCTGCACCATCGAGAGCATCCTGACTGGTTGCATCACCGCCTGGTATGGCAACTGCTCGCCCTCCGACCGCAAAGCACTACAGAGGGTAGTGCGTACGGCCCAGTACATCACTGGGGCCAAGCTTCCTGCCATCCAGGACCTCTATAACAGGCGGTGTCAGAGGAAGGCCCTCAAAATTGTCAAAGACTCCAGCCACCCTAGTCATAGACTGTTCTCTCTGCTACCGCACGGCAAGCGGTACTGGAGCGCCAAGTCTAGGTCCAAAAGGCTTCTCAACAGCTTCTACCTCCAAGCCATAAGATTCCTGAACAGCTAATCATGGCTACCCGGACTATTTGCACTACCCCCCCCACCCCATCTTTTAACGCTGCTGCTACTCTGTTACCTCCATATTACCTCAACTACCTCAACTAGCCGGTGCTCCCGCACATTGACTGCACCGGTACCCCCATGTATATAGCCTCCCTACTGTTATTTTATTTTACATTTTTAGTCATTTAGCAGACGCTCTTATCCAGAGCGACTTACAGTTAGTGAATACATATTTTTTTTATACTGGCCCCCTGTGGGAATCGAACCCACAACCCTGGCGTTGCAAACGCCATGCTCTATCAACTGAGCTACATCCCTGCCGGCCATTCCCTCCCCTACCCTGGACAACGCTGGGCCAATTGTGCGCCGCCCATGAGTCTCCCGGTCGCGGCCGGCAGCGACAGAGCCTGGATTCGAACCAGGATCTCTAGTGGCACAGTTAGCACTGCGATGCAGTGCCTTAGACCACTGCGCCACTCAGGAGACTTCTGCTCTTTTTTCTCAACACTTTTTTGTTGTTGTTTTATTTTACTTTTTTATTAAAAAATAAATGCATTGTTGGTTAAGGGCTGTAAGTAAGCATTTCACGGTAATGTCTACACCTGTTGTATTCGGCGTGGCAAATACAATTTGATTTGGGAATGTTTTTGGTGATTAAAAAAAAGTTTTTTGTTGTTGTTGTCATTTTAGCAGACGCTCTTATCCAGAGCAACTTACAGTTAGTGAGTGCATACATTTTCATACTGGCCCCCCGTGGGAATCGAACCCACAACCCTGGCGTTGCAAACGCCATGCTCTACCAACTGAAGTACACGGGACTCTTTATTTGATTCTGAGTTTTTCCTCTCAGCTCTGAGGTTCTTTGTTGTGTCTTGGTTGTAAACTCACAGCTGCTTTCTGTAGCAAACTAACCCTTGACACTCTGGCACGGATGTTGACTGTTAACTGTGACTGCTCACCCACAGCCATAGACACAACAAACACACACACATACACATGTGCACCCACACACACATACACACTGATGTCATATGCCTTATCTTAACAAAGTATGTAGTAAAGCATCTGAGGATTCTTATCTATGTAAAAATTTTAGTTAGTATGAAACAGAGGTCCTTTGTTTCTCATAATAGATTGTTGGAGATCCCCTTTTTGTGGGTGGCCCAAACTTTTTTCATAATACTGTAGAAAACTAATGTGAGTTCCTCGTCTATTGATCCAATGCAAATCTATTCATTGGTGTGCGTGTAAATCTATTCTAGTTAATATTTACATGTACCCAGAACTCAACAGGGAAACGCTATGCTTTTCAGATTTCCTCTACAGCCACATCAACACCTTTCAGCCTCAATGGCCCTGTCTACACTTGACACTTACATGCGATTTCTGCTATCAGAGTATGAAGATCGCATTGAAAAGACAGGTCTAGACGCAGAAAAGTCGCATTAAGGTCGGATTGTGTTCAGATCTCCCTAACCACCTCAGGAGGTGGTCACAGATGCATTGTGTGGGGAATTCTCCTCGGTCTGGACACAATCAGGCTGCTGAAAGGACATACAGTGGGCGACATCATCAGCTCTCCGCCCACAAGTCTCCAGAAAACGTGTGTTTTGGGAGTAAGAGGCACCTTTCTTCATTAAACATTGAAGGAAATACATTCCTAGCGTGTGAGGAACGTGTTTGCTGGCCTCATAAATGCTATCCAGCTAGCTTATTTAGAAAAACATTTTTTTGTTTGGCCAGAGTTATGCTAACATGTTTGCAATCCCTTTAGCTCTGCTAGTTAGCTTGCTGGCTAGTTTCATAGGTTAGCTGGCTAGTTAGCTTCAGTAGTTGGCTACTGCCATCAAGTTGCGTTTGTTGTGTTATCAGATTTAGCCTGTTCCACTGTTTGCAGAATGCATACTGCATTTGAATATAGTACGGGAAAAGGGAATCCGGACACAATGTGGACACGGTAGACACATTTAAATGTAGGTGTAGACGTGTTCGGAATTCCATGACCAGAACTCTATGATCAGAATACAAAAGCTGCATGAACTGTCAAGTCTAGACACGGCCAATGAGAGATAGAGAGAGACCGTACAGGATGTTGGCCTCGTAAAGTCCGATGGGGCTGTTTCAGCAGGTCTGAGGGAGGGAGCTGATTGCGCTCGGGACCTCCAGGCACATCTGAAGATGGTTTTGCAGCCCTGGAGTTAAGCGTCGCTTCACTGAGAGAGCACAGCAAATTAGGATGTGTGCGGGCCTGCCCTGGGACTCCACTTTCACTATAGGGTTGGTTACTGTACATCTCCACCTGTGCTCGACTGTGCCCTGGACACCTGACACTGATGCAGATATGAGTCTCCCTCCCTCTCTTTCTCTCTCTTTTTACTCCCTCCCTCTCTCCCCGTCTCTCTCATGAGCAGAGCCTCTATGGAGCCCTCTGGTCCTAACTAGGCCCTGTTTTTATGCAGTCTTACGTGGCTGAGCACAGTTCATCAGACGTTCCCCTCAGTCCCCTTGAGCACACACCAGGTCCCCCAGAGTCCGAGGAGGACAGGTAGTTGGTTTCACTAGGATTTTTGATACTCCTCTTCAGAGAGAGATGTGTTGAATCTATGAGCCTCAACCACTGTGCTGATCAGGGCTGCTGCTCTGACAATACTAGACAGGAATCCTCCTCCTCTTCCCTCCTCCCCTCCCCCTCCTCCTCCCTCGTCCTCCTCTTCGTCCTCCTCACCCAGGACCCAGCCATCCCTAGACTCCACACTCCTTCTCTGGGCTTCAGGAGTGAGTCAGGGCCCTCTCCTCCTCTCCTCCCTTCCTCCCTTCCTCACCTCCTCTTCACCTCTGCTCCCCTTGTAGCATGCGTCAGAATTCACTCAAGTACACTCACACACAGGCATGCTTTCGCAGACAGACCACACCTGTACACCTCGAACCTCACGTTCACTACATTCCTCAGCGTACTCCAGTTGAGGAGAGAGCGGCTGTTCCCTATTAGAAGATGAACTGGATAGATTCCACCCAGGTCACAATGTTATCTTTGACAGTTAGCGTAACTACATAACACAGGACCACAGTGTGAATCATTAGGACCCGCACTGTCCTGCCCTGTCCCTGCCCTGGGCTGGGTTGTGTTCATGTGGGCTGTGTGTGCATGCCTGGGTGCATGCGTGTGTGTGTGTGTGTGTGTGTGTGTCTTCTCTCAGACTGAGGCATCTTCAGGGCATGTGAACCGACAGCAGGGGAGGGGAGGAAGGTTAAGATGTGTGAGACTTTATCAGTGGAAACTCCGTCAGAGCACGCTCACGCTGTCAACGTGAGCAAACACAGACACACACCTTGCACGCACAAACAACCCCCACTGCGTCCTGCACTCAACACACCTCCAATGGTAGGATCCCATTACATACGCTACACACACACATACTGTCATACACGGAGAGGACTTCTAAAAGAGGAGCAGAGCACTCTTAGGTTCTACTATCAGGACCCGTAAAATCAGCTAAAAGCCAATCCTCCCTGTCACTGCTACACGTAAACTCACACACACACACACACAATACACCACCATCATATACTCTCTCCACTCCCTACAATACAGGACCCCCACTCCCACTATTAACATTACTCAACCTCAGTCCTCTGCACTGTTGTTCAAACATGCAATTACTAACAGATTGCTTGGTTTACCTTGCAGTGCCATGGGTGCGTGTGTTCGCCACAGTCTAGTATAGTCTGATGGATAGATTGTATGAATGGGGGGAAAAAAGCACTAATCCTGCTCCAAACCAAATTACTATTTGTGATCATTGGCTCATGATGTGCACGTATGCACACAGGCTGCTGATGGGAGGACGGCTCATAATAATGGCTGGAACGGAGCATGTGGAATGGCAGCAACCACATGGAAACCATGTGTTTGATGTATTTGATACCATTCCACTAATTCTGCTCCAGCCATTACCACGAGCCCATCCTCCCCAATTAAGGTGCCACCATTCCAGCTTCATGACTACCTGATGAAGCTGGTTGAGAGAATGCCAAGAGTGTGCAAAGATGTCATCAAGGCAAAGGGTGGCTATTTGAAGAATCTCAAAGATAATATATATTTTGATTTGTTTAACACTTTTTTGGTTACTACATGATTCCATATGTGTTATTTCATAGTTTCGATGTCTTCACTATTATTCTACAATGTATTCTACAACGGGGGCAGAGGGAACACTTATAGACGTGAGTAAACAGGGCCTCCGCAGTTTGCAGGGCCGTGGTGAGACCGGGCAGAGGAAGGAGGCGGCAGGACTTGGAAAAGCAGTCCACAACGACCAGGATGGTGGTGTTACCTTGGGAGAGGGGAAGATCAGTCAAAAAAATCAACACTTAGGTGAGACCATGGTCGTTGTGGAACTGGTAAATGTTGTAACTTACCCGATGGGAAGTGCCTAGGTGCCTTACTCTGGGCGCACACCGAGCAGGAGGAGACGTACACCCTCACGTCTTTAGCCAAGGTAGGCCACCAGTACTTTCCGGTCAGGCAGCGCACTGTACGACCGATACCTGGGTGACCAGAGGAGGGTGACGTGTGTGCCCAGAAGATCAGCCGATCACGGATAAGAGCAGGCACGTACCGCAGCCCAGCTGGACACTGAGGTGGAGATGGATCTGTGCGTAATGCCTGCTCTATATCCGCGTCCATCGCCCATACTACCGGCGCCACAATGGAGGAGGCCGGGAGTATGGGGGTGTTGTCTCTGGGCCTCTCCTCTGTGTCATACAGCCAGGACAGTGCGTCTGCCTTCACGTTCTTCGTACCCGGAATGTATGACAGTGTAAACTCAAACCGGGTGAAGAATAGGGCCCACCTGGCCTGGAGAGGATTCAGCCTCCTCGCTGCCCGGATGTACTCCAGGTTACGGTGGTCCGTCCAGACGAGGAAAGGGTGTTTCGCCCCTTCGAGCCAATGCCTCCACACGGTCAAAGCTCGGACAACAGCCAACAGCTCCCGATCACCAACGTCATAGTTCTGCTCCGCCGGACTGAGCTTCTTAGAGAAGAAGGCATAGGGGCGGAGCTTGGGTGGCGTGCCAGAGCGTTGAGATAGGACAGTGCCTATCCCTACCTCAGAAGCATCCACCTCCACTATGAACGGTAGTGATGGATCGGGGTTGGCCAGTACCGGGGCTGAGGTGAACAGACCCCACAGTCTACTGAAGGCCAGGTCAGCCTCAGCAGACCAGCCCACCCTTCAACAGGGATGTAATGGGAGCTGTGAAGCCAAGGAAGCGCTGCACCTCCTTAACCGTGGTTGGAGTTGGCCAATTACGCACGGCTGAAATGCGATCTCCCTCCATCTCCACACCTGAGGTGGTAATGCGGTATCCGAGGAAGGAGACGGACTGCTGGAAAAACATACACTTCTCTGCCTTGGCGTAAAGGTAATTTTCCAACAGTTGGGCCAGCACTTTGCGAACCAGGGACACATGCTCGGCGTGCGTGGCGGAATACACCAGGATGTCATCGATGTAGACCACCACACCGCGACCAAGCATGTCCCGAAACACCTCGTTCACAAAGGACTGGAAGACGGATGGAGCATTCATCAAACCGTAGGGCATCACCAGGTATTCATAATGCCCCGTGGTTGTGCTGAATGCTGTCTTCCACTCATCCCCCTCCCGAAAACGCACCAGGTTGTATGCACTCCTGAGATCTAATTTGGTGAAGAAGCGCACCCCATGCATTGACTCAATCACTGAAGGAATGAGGAGGAGAGGATAGCTAAATCTTATCGTCTCCTTGTTCAGTGATCGATAATCAATGCACGGGCGCAGACCGCCGTCTTTCTTCTTCACAAAGAAGAAACTTGAGGAAGCGGGTGAAGTGGAGGGACGTATATACCCCTGGCCCAGGGACTCGGTGACGTATGTTTCCATGGCCTCCTTTTCAGCCTGCGACAGGGGGTACACATGACTCCTGGGAGGTACAGAGTCTACCCGAAGGTTTATCGCGCAATCCCCCGCCCAATGAGGTGGTAATTCTGTCGCCTGCGTCTTTGAAAACGCGTGCGCCAGATCGAGGGGAATGCGCATGGTGGAGGTACCGTCTGGACTTTCCACCATGGTTGCACCAACGGAAACACCTAGACACCTACCCTGACACTCTTGCAACCACCCCGTGAGAACCCTCTGTGGCCATGAGAAGGTGTGGTTGTGGAGTGCTAGCCAAGGGATACCTAATACATTACATTTTTACATTTTAGTCATTTAGCAGACACTCTTATCCAGAGCGATTTACAGTTAGTGAGTGCATACATTTTTCATACTGCCCCCCCGTGGGAATCGAACCCACAACCCTGGCATTGCAAGCGCAATGCTCTACCAACTGAGCTACAGGAGGCCCAATACCACAGCGAAAGCAGGAGACTCAATAATAGAAAAAGTAACCTGCTCACAATGAGTCTCCTGGGTGATCATGGTGACTGGTACAGTAACTTCCTTAACAAACCCGGACCCTAATGGTCGACTATCAAGTGCTCTGATGGGGAGTGGAATGGATAGGGGAACCAATGAAATGCCTTGACGGCGTGCAAATGCCCTGTCCATAAAGTTCCCAGCTGCGCCTGAATCGACTAGCGCCTTACACTGGGAAACTACCAGGTGATCGGGAAAGGAGATAGATAAGGTACAGTGCGCCGCTAAGGGCTCTGAACAAGTTTGGGTGTTCGTTACCTGGGGTGATGCGTGAGTACACTGCCTACCGCCTCCAGACCCAAAGGAACATTGACTGCGACGTGAGGTGGATTGCCCCTTCGTGCCACCAGAGTGGCACTGTCGCTGTCCTCCTGCGCTCTCTCGACCGGCGGCTCCCCCCAGCTCCATCTGCTCGGGGGCAGAGTCGTCCGGAGTGGGAACGGGCAGACCCTACCAGGACGTCCTCTGGCTGCTAGCAGATTGTCCAGCCGGATGGCCATGTCCACCAGTTGGGAGAACGATAGCATGGCATCACGGCAGGCTAGCTCCCGTCGGACGTCCTCCCTTAGGTGGCACCGGAAATGGTCGGTCAGGGCCCGCTCATTCCACCCAGACCCTGCTGCCAGCGTCCGGAACTCCAGCACGTAGTCCTGTGCGGTCCTCGTCCCCTGCCTCAGATGGACCAGTCGTTCGCCCGCCTCTCGACCCTCAGGCGGGTGATCGAAAATGGCCCAAAAGAGGCGAGCAAACTCCCCGTAGTCCTCGTTCCACACCGCGTTGGCCCACTCCAGGGCTCTCCCACAAAGGCAGGAAATGAGGACGGATACCTTCTCCCGCTCCAGTGGCGCCGGCCTGATGCTGGAGAAATACAACTCTAGTTGGAGCGGAAAATCCCTTACATCGTGCTGCCGTCCCATCAAACGCCGGTGGCCGGGATATCTGGATCCCTCCAGGGGCTGGGGTGTAGGTGGTTGGATCAGGTTGACCAGCTGGTCTCGATAGATCGGGTCCTCTCTTCTCCAGGCGTTGTACCACCTGAAGAACCCGATCCATCGCTTCTCCCAAGCTGGCCAGCATCGAGGAATGCTCCTGGACCCTTGCCACAACTCCAGGCATGCGGTCTTCTCCTGCTGACTCCATTCAGCGGGTGAGTGATTCTGTGATGAGGTGTGAATGAAGGAGTCAGGTGCAGGAGGTAAAACACCGAAGTCCAGAGTTTATTCCGTTTACATAAATAAAACGCACCCAGCGTCAAAACAAAACTATCACAAGGGAAATATTCCACCTTAGCAATAACAAATGGAAGAGTAGCTCAACCGAGCTCCTCGCACTCACAATGAAACAATCACTCACAAAGACAAGGGAAACAGAGGGAACACTTACAGTGGGGAAAAAAAGTATTTAGTCAGCCACCAATTGTGCAAGTTCTCCCACTTAAAAAGATGAGAGAGGCCTGTAATTTTCATCATAGGTACACGTCAACTATGACAGACAAATTGAGAAAAAAAAATCCAGAAAATCACATTGTAGGATTTTTTATGAATTTATTTGCAAATTATGGTGGAAAATAAGTATTTGGTCACCTACAAACAAGCAAGATTTCTGGCTCTCACAGACCTGTAACTTCTTCTTTAAGAGGCTCCTCTGTCCTCCACTCGTTACCTGTATTAATGGCACCTGTTTGAACTTGTTATCAGTATAAAAGACACCTGTCCACAACCTCAAACAGTCACACTCCAAACTCCACTATGGCCAAGACCAAAGAGCTGTCAAAGGACACCAGAAACAAAATTGTAGACCTGCACCAGGCTGGGAAGACTGAATCTGCAATAGGTAAGCAGCTTGGTTTGAAGAAATCAACTGTGGGAGCAATTATTAGGAAATGGAAGACATACAAGACCACTGATAAACTCCCTTGATCTGGGGCTCCACGCAAGATCTCACCCCGTGGGGTCAAAATGATCACAAGAACGGTGAGCAAAAATCCCAGAACCACACGGGGGGACCTAGTGAATGACCTGCAGAGAGCTGGGACCAAAGTAACAAAGCCTTCAATCAGTAACACACTACGCCGCCAGGGACTCAAATCCTGCAGTGCCAAGACGTGTCCCCCTGCTTAAGCCAGTACATGTCCAGGCCCGTCTGAAGTTTGCTAGAGTGCATTTGGATGATCCAGAAGAGGATTGGGAGAATGTCATATGGTCAGATGAAACCAAAATATAACTTTTTGGTAAAAACTCAACTCGTCGTGTTTGGAGGACAAAGAATGCTGAGTTGCATCCAAAGAACACCATGCCTACTGTGAAGCATGGGGGTGGAAACATCATGCTTTGGGGCTGTTTTTCTGCAAAGGGACCAGGGCGACTGATCCGTGTAAAGGAAAGAATGAATGGGGCCATGTATCGTGAGATTTTGAGTGAAAACCTCCTTCCATCAGCAAGGGCATTGAAGATGAAACGTGGCTGGGTCTTTCAGCATGACAATGATCCCAAACACACCGCCCGGGCAACGAAGGAGTGGCTTCGTAAGAAGCATTTCAAGGTCCTGGAGTGGCCTAGCCAGTCTCCAGATCTCAACCCCATAGAAAATCTTTGGAGGGAGTTGAAAGTCCGTGTTGCCCAGCGACAGCCCCAAAACATCACTGCTCTAGAGGAGATCTGCATGGAGGAATGGGCCAAAATACCAGCAACAGTGTGTGAAAACCTTGTGAAGACTTACAGAAAACATTTGACCTGTGTCATTGCCAACAAAGGGTATATAACAAAGTATTGAGAAACTTTTGTTATTGACCAAATACTTATTTTCCACCATAATTTGCAAATAAATTCATTAAAAATCCTACAATGTGATTTTCTGGAAAGAAAATTCTCATTTTGTCTGTCATAGTTGACGTGTACCTATGATGAAAATTACAGGTCTCTCTCATCTTTTTAAGTGGGAGAACTTGCACAATTGGTGGCTGACTAAATACTTTTTTCCCCCACTGTATACATATACTAATTAGGGGAATGAGCACCAGGTGTGTGTGATTGACAAGACAGGACATGACAAGTGGGGTGATGAGAATGGGATCGGCAGTAGCTAGTAAGCCAGTGACGACGAACGCCGAAACCTGCCCAAACAAGGAGGGGAGGCAGCCTCGGCGGAAGTCATGACACTCAGGGAGGGAGGGAGAAATAGTGTTTGTTTTATTATTATTGTATTTATTTATACATTAAAACATTTTCAAACAGACAGACAATAACAGCAAAAGTATAGTACGAATTAGTGTTTGTATTAGACTTGTTGCACTGGTTTGACTCAACGTTTTTCATGCAGCCATACTGTATGGACTAGAGAGGGTGTGCTGTTTTTGGTGAGCGTCAGATCGGAGCATGTGTCCTAGCACCTGTAACTTAGCTGATTGAATCATCAAACAGTCATATCATATCACCAGGTTGTATTGATTTGATTTGGTGTTGGGAGGCTGGGATACCGATGTCTTCCGCAGCTTGTGCCTTGTAACCCGAGAGCAGACTACTAAAGCTCTTAGATCTTGGAGATGTCGAAGTTCTTGGGTGCCAACTGCTGTGCTGTCCTGGGGAGTCGGTGAGTCGGTCCCATCTCCCTTCCCTCCCCGTCCCCTTACGCACTCTCAATCTTACATGGACTTCCGCATCACAAACACACACACACACATCCTACATGTCTTTCTGCAGCACACACGCACAATCTTACATTGCCGCATGCGGCACACAATCAATGGTACATTGTCTTCCGTGACATCCAGCCCCTGACCGGAACATAAGGTTATCTTATCTGTACGTCAGTGACATTGGGGTATATCTACTCTTAACCTTTGACAGCATTTTATGGACCCTGCCTTGTGACTGAAACCCTGGAAAATCCCAGTAACAGAGGAGAGCTACTGAAGCAGGTTTATAGGGGGATTAAAGGAGGGAGGCTCGCTGACGCACTTGAGAAGGGAATGCGTGCCCAGTTAGCTTAATACAAGGGCCTGTGTGTGAGTGTGTGAGTGTGTGAGTGCGTGCGCACGTGTGTGTGCGTGCTCGGCCAAACAGCCTCGCTCCCACACACACCCATCAGATAAGGCAGGGGCCCCTGTAGTCAGGTGATGTAAAGAAAGTGTACAAAGGGCCCCCTCCGTTTCTGTAGGACCAAGGCACCGGCCTGGGTCTCCCTGCGAAATTGCAGGCTTTGTGGGTCTTTTGAAGAACAGGTGGTTTTGTGTGTCTCTCCCTCCATGAGGATTTCCCTGTTCTACAAGGAAATGACAGAGAAAATACCAATTTTATAGGCCTGTGATGAGAGGCCCACTATAACTGTACTGTCTGCTTGCTCTCAGGGCTCAGGGCTCTGAACAGCTCTGATGGCTGTGTGTGTGTGTGTGTGTGTGTGTGTGTGTGTGTGTGTGTGACAGTTTAAATATGGCTCCCAATCAGAGACAACGAGCCAACAGCTGACACTCGTTACCTCTGATTGGGAGTCACTCACACAAAGAAATACAATAACCTAGACCCACAACAAAACATAGAAACTAACACCCTGGCTCAACATACGAGAGTCCCCCGAGCCAGGGCGTGACAGTACCCCCCCCTAAAGGCGCGGACTCCGACCGCGCCAACGAAACACAACAGGGGAGGGACCGGGTGGGCACTCCGCCTAGGCGGCGGATCCGGCTCCAGTGGAACAGGCACGTGCCGTGCCGAACCGACGACGCACACCACTGGCTTGGTGTGGGGAACAGGCACGGGCCGGACAGGGCTGACGAAACGCCCCACAGACTTGGTGCTGGGAGCAGGAGTGGGCCGGACTGGGCTGGCGACGCGCACCACAGACCTGGTGCGGAGAGCAGGAACGGGCAGAGCCGGGCTGACGAGACGCACCACAGACTTGATGCGGGGAGCAGGAATGGGCCGGACTGGGCTGGCGACGCGCACCACAAACCTGGTGCGGAGAGCAGGAACGGGCAGAGCCGGGCTGACGAGACGCACCACAGGCTTGATGCGGGGAGCAGGAATGGGCCGGACTGGGCTGGCGACGCGCACCACAGACCTGGTGCGGGGAGCAGGAACGGGCAGAGCCGGGCTGACGAGACGCACCGTAGACTTGATGCGGAGAGCAGGCACGGGCCGTGCCGGACTGACGACGCACACCACTGGCTTGGTGCGGGAAGCTTGGATGGGCCGGACTGTACTGGGGACACACACCACTGGCCCTACACCGGGATCTGGAACGGGCCGGACCGGACTGGCAACACACGCCAGTACTTCTCGCCGTGCCTCTACTTCCTCCATCCCCTCTTCGACCAGTGGCCCCCGTAACCCGGCGGCCTTCTCCGGCAACCCACTGGGCCGCTCTATCGCGGCCTCCTGCTGGTCCGACGTCGTGAGCCCCCCCCTAAAAATGTTCGGGGCGTCTCTCCTACCCGTGGACCAGGTCTCCATATCCCTCGCCAGCTTCTCGCCCTTCTGCCATAAGGTCAAGCCCCTCTCTTCCTCACTCGGCTTGACCCAGTCCAGGAGGCGAAGGAGATCTGTGAGGGATCTCCCTGGCGATGGCTCCTGGACACGCTGCTTGGTCCCATCTTGGTGGTTTCTTCTGTCACGATCGTCTAATGAGGACCAATGCGCAGCGTTGAAGGTGAACATCTTTTATTAGATAAATGATCACACGATCAAAATAACAAACGAAACGTGACGTCTACAGTTGAACACAACCCAACGAGAACAAGAAACCACAAACACCACGTGAAAACCGACAGTTTAAATATGGCTCCCAATCAGAGACAACGAGCCAACAGCTGACACTCGTTACCTCTGATTGGGAGTCACTCACACAAAGAAATACAATAACCTAGACCCACAACAAAACATAGAAACTAACACCCTGGCTCAACATACGAGAGTCCCCCGAGCCAGGGCGTGACAGTGTGTGCAGTTATGTGTGTTGTGCTTGTGTGTGTTGGTTTTGTTAATTTGAAGGCGGTGCAGAGTTCGTTAAATATGTGATAATGTACTGTACACACCTGGATGAGTAATGCACCTTTTAGTCACAATATATTTCTATCCCTCTAATTGTCTTATTAAATTATCATGACGGTACATTGAAAGCATGTGTTTGCATGCTGTTTACCATAGTCTACAATAGCATTGTTTATACATAGATATTTCCTTCTATTTTGTTTGTTTGTGTGTTTGGTGTGGAAATGGTAACTGAGACAGCTGTGTTGTGAAGCATTCATAGAACAACGTCCTGTGTTGGAAAGCATTTGTATGTGATCAATGGAAAATGTGAATATTCCTATTAATGAGGCTTATTGTATGGCAGGGTGTTGTTGTCCATAAGAGCTGGCTATCTTTGTTTCTGTGCCCAACACTGTGCCCAAAATCCTGAGTGACACATACTGTCATACCCCCACCCCACTCAACTCCCCAGCCCAGTGTTCTCACAACATGCCCCCATTGTCAAATGTCATCCCACGAGTCAGTGTAGCAGACTGAGGGCTTTTCCACATTTTCTACTTCATTTCACGATTTCCTCTAAATATTTTATAGTTCCCCACTGATAATTCGATGACGCACTCTCAGGAACCGGGGGATTTGTCGTTCCAGGAAGGCGGAGAGAGGGGCTTTTGTGTGCTCCTGCCTGTGTTGTGTGGAGAATTGGTGCATGTGCGTGAGAGTGTGTGGGTGCGTGTGCGTGTGCGTGATAGTGTGTGGGTGCTTGTGCGTGCGTGAGAGTGTGTGGGTGCGTGTGTGGGTGTTGCTCTGTGGGGTGTGCCTTGATTCCTGGTCATCCTCTTAAATATAGCATTGTATCTGGGCAGCTGATGACAGCAGAGCTGACTGCACACACTAGTTTGAGCTCCACACTGTTTTAGCGTTTGAGATGCACAAAGACAAAAGATACATGATTTGAAAAGTGCCTTCCTTTTGTCGTCCATAAAGTTCAGCTGCATTAACTTTGGTCCGAGATCAGATTCAACCGAGGAGACCCTCTACGTTCGATCGTTATTACCCGAAAAGATTTGCCTACTTTTATCTTCAGGCCCAGAGCACCACAGTCTCACACACGTGCCTGGTGGCCCATTCGGACAGGAGGAGAAGTGTGACTTAGTACAGAAAGTTTCCATAACTGGGACACACCAAGCCAGGAGGAGCTTTGGGTTTCAGCCAGAGCATCAGGGTTGATCGGGGCTCAGGGGCTTCCATGGTTGAGGCGGGGAAATCTGTCTCCCCAAATCACCTTCTCCCAGTGGGACAGCCAGCTGTTCCCAGCTCCCTGCTCCCCTCAGCCCTCCTAATGCAGTAACACACATACACACACACACACACACACACACACACACAACCCAGCAACAGCAGCATTCCTCTCTGCTGAGGTCACCTGGCTCCTCTCTCCCCTACAGCTCAATTATTGACTTTATTTTCACTGGGAAGAATGTACCCTTTCTTTGATAATAACTGTATATAATAACTTGCATTGTATGTGTGTGTGCGCATGTGTGTGTGTGCGTGCTTGCATGCACACGTACGTGTGTGAGTATGTGTGAGAGAGAAAAAGAGCAAGAAAGAGCAAGACAGAAACATGACACATCCTCCACAGACAAATCACACAGCCCTCAGTCACTTCCTGGTTGTCTTTCTGAAAGGCTCCTCTGTGGATTGGCTGGTTAGTCAGGCACACAGTGTACTGAGTGCCAGTCACTTACTAATGAAAGTAATAGATGTAACGTTGGGGAAGGATTTAATTAGATAAAAATGGCTTGCTCTGATGATGTCACAGATAACATGCATATTTTGTAATCCAAAGGTTATTCACATGTTTAAAGGGCCTGTCATCAAAATATTGTTGTTAAGATACTGTGACACCAGAGTACTGTGGGGGGTGTTCATGTGATTCTCTCTCTGTGTCCTGTAGAGTATTGAACGTGAGGAGCCAATAGAGGTGGATCCAGCCCCTGTATCCCCTGGACTGGAGAATGGACACTCTACTGACCCAGGTAATGGCTGTTCTAATCTACCATCTCAGCTACAGTAGAAATACAGCCATACTTGCCATCCATGTACTGTATGAGGGGATTTATTTTCTCAATGCTTGTCCAATCAGAAAACTCAACAGTGTCACATGGAAAGAGCTCACCAGCCAATAACAATGTCCCGTATGAAAACACGGACCCTGTTGCCATGCGGATGCCACACCTACCCATCACCGCCACAACCAAAACGGCTGACCCCTCAGTTATGAAGAGTGAATCTCCCACCAGTCCTGTACGCTCTCAGCCCTCGTCTGTATCAGAGCCTACTGACAACAACCAGCCTCAAGCCATCCCAGAATTCCCCATTCAACCAGGTATGAGAGACCAGACATCAGCTAAAAGCTGTCCAGACCAAATATTTGAACTCTCGACTTCTATATCCTTATATGGTTCTTCTGCTCCATAAGCCATAATATCCTTTGTTACACTTTGTATTTTATGTTGTTCAGTGTCTTCTATGAAGACATGGACCCCCAGTCTCAGCCGAGGTCTGGGCTCTCCTCGACTGTCAGGTAAGAGGGATCTAACAAGTCAGGCTTGTTACTAGAACTGGAACTAACTAGACTCACACAATGTTTTATTCCCACAGTTTCCTTATATGTTCTTTGATTTGTCATTTGCAGAAAAGTCCTCGTCTGCTCCCCTGAAGTCAGTGACTTACTCTGGCCTCATCCAACACAACACAGACAGGTGAGTGAACTATTCTTTACTCAGTCCTAGAGAATTGAGATAGTCCATGCTTTAACCCACATGCGATAACCCATTTGCCATTTGGAATGGCCTCATTGTGGCCCAAGTTGATGTATGACACTCCTCCGTTCTCCGACCTGCAGGGTGGAAGATGCGGGCGGGGACATGTCCTTTGGGAGGGGAGTGGAGCGGAGGCGGGAGCTGGTGAGGTCACAGACGTTGCCGCGCAACCTTGGAGCTCAGGCCCGCCGGTCCATCTTTGAAAGGCTGGATTCTGAAGCCAGCAGGTACCACCCTCTCTCCTCCCACCATCTCTCTTTCTATCCCATCCATCCATCCCTAAACTGATAGGTTCTCTCCTTTCCCTCATATTATCCCTCCTTTCTTCTGGGTAATTCTTAACTCATACTTCGGCTGCGTCCCAATTCTCTACCCTTGCACACACTCTCTCATGGATTTAACAATGGTAGAAGAACACCACCCAACGACGGGGAGTGTGTAAGTGTACACTTCGGGAGAAAGGCTGAGAATGGGGACATGACCTCTGTCATGTTTTCTGGCTCATCTTGTTGACCCCTGTCCCCGCTCCTCTCAGTAGACCCAAGCCCATGGACTCCAAGCCCAAACTGAAGCGTTCTCAGAGCTTTGGTGTGTCCAGTGCCAGCAGCATCAAGCAGATTCTTCTGGAGTGGTGCCGCTCCAAAACCATAGGATACCAGGTGAGATTGTGGTCACAGAACACAGCTACACACCGGAACAGAGACCTGGGCCGTATTCACAAAGCACCTCAGAGTAGAGGCTGATCTAGGATCAGGTCCCCCATTATGAATACAGCCCCATAGCAGCCAGTAACAAAGATGATGAATATGGAACTGTCATCTGGTCACCTGAAATCCACAACACAGGAGCAGTCTTAATGTCTTTAATGTGTTAATGAGAAGCACATTGCCATGGGTATGCTGCATACTGAACTAAGCGTATTATTGTAGTATATTGAACGTTTGTGTGTGTGTGTGTGTGTGTGTGTGTGTGTGTGTGTATGTGTCTGTGTGTGAACATGCATATCCGTGTCTGTGCGTGAGTGTTTGAGTTACGGCTCAGTGCTAGGGTCGTTGGCTTCACTCTGTCATTCACTCTGCAGCAGCAGCTGTGCCAGTCTGTCCATGTGGCTCTGGTTAAACAGAGAGCTGTCACGGCCAAGGCCGGCCTCGCAGAGCAAACAGCACCGGCCGCTTCCCGCAGGCAGCTCCTCCTCACACTCAAATTAGAGACCTGACTGGCGCTCGACAAACATGACAAGTTGTATTTTCCCACTGACACGCTGAGGCTTTTATAGGCTAGGCTAAGGACACAAAAACCGTGAAATTACACAGTTCTGAAAGCATGTCCAATTGGAGAGAGAGAGGGACGCAGGGAGAGGAATTGAAGATAAAAAACCATTCAGCATTCCTCCTCTGTTTTCCCCATTATGACAGAGAAACCTGGGAGAGGACATTTCATGACGTTAGAATAGGTAGCCAATCATTTTTATTGGCATTTTTCGTATGTCTGATTTATTCTTAAGTCTCTTTTACAGTGTCTCCGTATTCCCTCACTAAACACATGTGGAAATACACCACACACACTCAGACATGTACAGTCCAGACACACACGCGCACACGCACACACAACCACACACTCCTAACTCTGTCTCTCTGACCCCAGAACATAGACATCCAGAACTTCTCGTCCAGTTGGAGTGATGGCATGGCCTTCTGTGCCCTGGTCCATTCCTTCTTCCCCACTCAGTATGACTATAACGTGCTGACGCCTGCTGACCGCAAACACAACTTTGAGCTGGCCTTCGGAACAGCAGAGTAAGTGACTTTTACATTGTAATAAGCGTTATCTATATGTCCTGTATAGTATTTCTGAGCATTATACACACACCCATGCTCTTCTGTCTTGAATCATGTTGGAATGATTCATCCATTCATTATGTAGAAACATTGTAAGATCATCTCAGTTGTACAATATTTTATGTATCGGCCTATTCATGTGCATTTCCAGTGTCGCTCTCCTTTTGGTTTGGTTAAGCAAAGAACACTACTATGCTGTGCTTGTTATAATGGCGAACCCAAGTTACCTGCGTAAATACATTTAGAGTCACAGTGTCCCTGGCCACCATACAAATAGAAATAACATGAATGGAATCACTTTCAGATTCCATTAATAGCGTTGATACATAAACGATTGTACCACTGAGATGATCTTACAATGTTTCTGTTGCATCTTGGTAAAGAGTGTCTGTAGCCCGCACGTTAAGCCAGCAAGGCAGCCGCTACCAGATAATACCCTCTCCTCTCCCCACACTAACCTCCTCTTCTCTTCTCTTCCCTCTGCTCTGCTTCCTCCAGCCTGACCTCACTACTAACAACACCACTGCTGCAACACAGCCTCTCATAATCCTCCTGACACATGGATACATACAGTACACAGAAAAAACATAGATCAAAATCATGTGTGCATCTAACCATATGCAGAGATAGTTCTAACACATGAGCTTCTGTACAATACCACAAATTAGTCCACATTGTTCCATGTGATCTATTAGCCTGGTCCCAGGTCTGTTTGTGCTGTCTTGCCAACAACACCGAATGAGTTGGGAAAACAGTTCAAATAGACCTGGGACCAGGCTAATGATATATCAGCCCCGTTAACTAAGGAATGACATAGATAGTCCTAGACTCCTCCTGACTTGTGCTGTGCCCTCTGTCTGATACAGGGAGAAGGCGGGCTGTGACCGGCTCATCGAGGTGGAGGACATGATGGTGATGGGGCGCAAGCCGGACCCCATGTGTGTCTTTACCTACGTCCAGTCCATGTACAACCACCTGCGCAAGTTTGAGTGATGAACGATGACCTGGCAGCTACTTGACGACATCACTACCCCACCACCACTACCACCACTCTCTTGCCTACAGGGACAGCAGCAATGCACACTGAAAGACTACACTTCCCCCTGCTGGAATGGACAGAGTATTACAAGTATTTCTCAAGTTTGAGAGATGTTTCACTCTGCAATGTTGAGTACTCACAGCTATTCACAAATAAAAAAAAGGCTATATTATCCCTGTTTGTGTATGAGTGGCTGAGTGTTTATTCCCTGAAAGTCTGTGCTACGTTTCAGAGAAAGGAAGGATCTTTCTCCATTTTTGATGTTGACCGACCATGTTTAAGGCTTATATTGGCACAGTTGCTGTTTGAGAGAATGGGACAGGTTGCGGAATCAACTCTTTGCTGGGGAGAAAACCTAGTCCCTTTGAAGAAGCTGCAAGAGGACTTGAACAGTAGGCCTATAACACTGGACCAAGGACAAAGGACTGAGGATCCAGAGGATTGACACTGTGGATCAGTCTAAATAGGATGTTATCATCATTTGGTTCCTTCTAGAGTTGTATTTGTTCAGGCATCATTTACTTTATTGTCCTACTGTGGTTTCTCAGACCCGAATGTGTCCACAAAAGGCCTTGCATTGCAGCACAATAGAAAAGCTATACCAAAGTGTGCCTTAACATCAGCCAAACAGAGGAACCCAAGTACACTCACTATAAAGTTGAAAGGTTTGCTATTTAAGGAGCTAGAACTGCGAAGATGAACTGCACATATGTACCCACTACATGCAAAGGTAAAACAGCCTGTGTTCTTATAGTGTTATTGTTATGGTTGTGATTTTATTTAGATTTTCATAGACAAAAAAAGAGACAATAATAAATCCTAAATAAATTGTCACTTGTTTCACACATACCTTTGTTTTTTTATGTCATCATTTTATAGTAGGGCTGTCAGCTAATTAATTAACTTGAGTTAACTTTTTGTAATATTAGTGCACTAAGAAAATAATAAGTCTGAAAACATCCAAAATACATAATCTATACAAGTTAAAGAAAGTGTGCTTCATCAATTTACCTGATTTTTCTTACCATTACTTTGGACAAAATCAAAACCTTAATATATTCTTCACACTGGGCACAGAAGTAAATTCAACATGTAGTTTTGATTTACATTTGGTTGAGTTGTCAACTAATATGAATTCAATGTGTCTATTACTTGAACTCAGTGAAGCATTTTTTGGGGTTACAATTTCTGAGGCTGGTAACTAATAAACGTATGCTCTGCAGCAGAGGTACCTCTGGGTCTTCCATTCCTGTGGCGGTACTCATGAGAGCCAGTTTCATCATAGCCCTTGATGGTTTTTGCGACTGCACTTGAAGAAACTTTCAAAGTTCTTGAAATGTTCCGTATTGACTGACATTCATGTCTTAAAGTAATGATGGACTGTCGTTTCTCTTTGCTTATTTGAGCTGTTCTTGCCATAATATGGACTTGGTCTTTTACCAAATTGGGCTATACATTTTAGTCATTCTTATCCAGAGCAACTTACAATTAGTGAGTGCATACATTATTTTTAGTTTTTCATACCCCCCGTGGGAATCAAACCCACAACCCTGGCATTGCAAACACCGTGCTCTAACAACTGAGCTACATCCCTGCCGGCCATTCCCTCCCCTTACCCTGGGCCAATTGTGCGCCGCCCCATGGGTCTCCCGGTCGCGGCCGGCTACGACAAAGCCTGGATTCGAACCAGGATCTCTAGTGGCACAGCTAGCACTGCCTTAGACCACTGCACCACTCGGGAGGCTATCTTCTGTATACCACCCCTACCTTGTCACAACACAACTGATTGGCTCAAATGCACTAAGGAGGAAATAAATTCCACAAATTAACTTTTAAGAAGGCACACCTGTTAATCATGAAGCTGGTTGAGAGAGAATGCCAAGTGTGTGTAAAGCTGTCATCAAGGCAAAAGGTGGCTATTTGAAGAATCTCAAATATAAACTATATTTTGATTTGTTTAACACTTCTTTGGTTACTACATGATTCCATATGTGTTATTTCATAGTTTTGATGTCTTCACTATTATTCTACAATGTACAAAATAGTAAAAATAAAGAAAAACCCTTGAATGAGTAGGTGTTCTAAAACTTTTGACCGGTAGTGTGTATATATAAACAGTGGAGAGAACAAGTATTTGATACACTGCCGATTTTGCAGGTTTTCCTACTTACGAATCATGTAGAGGTCTGTAATATTTATCATAGGTACACTTCAACTGTGAGAGACGGAATCTAAAACAAAAATCCAGAAAATCACATTGTATGATTTTTAAGTAATTAATTTGCATTTTATTGCATGACATAAGTATTTGATCACCTACCAACAAGTAAGAATTCCGTCTCTCACAGACCTGTTAGTTTTTCTTTAAGAAGCCCTCCTGTTCTCCACTCATTACCTGTATTAACTGGACCTGTTTGAACTCGTTATCTGTATAAAAGACACCTGTCCACATACTCAATCAAACAGACTCTAACCTCTCCACAATGGCCAAGACCAGAGAGCTGTGTAAGGACATCAGGGATACAATTGTAGACCTGCACAAGGCTGGGATGGGCTACAGGACAATAGGCAAGCAGCTTGGTGAGAAGGCAACAACTGTTGGCACAATTATTAGAAAATGGAAGAAGTTCAAGATAACGGTCAATCACCCTCGGTCTGGGGCTCCATGCAAGATCTCACCTCGTGGGGCATCAATGATCATGAGGAAGGTGAGGGATCAGCCCAGAACTACACGGCAGGACCTGGTCAATGACCTGAAGAGAGCTGGGACCACAGTCTCAAAGAAAACCATTAGTAACACACTACGCCGTCATGGATTAAAATCCTGCAGCGCACGCAAGGTCCCCCTGCTCAAGCCAGCGCATGTCCAGGCCCGTCTGAAGTTTGCCAATGACCATCTGGATGATCCAGAGGAGGAATGGGAGAAGGTCATGTGGTCTGATGAGACAAAAATAGAGCTTTTTGGTCTAAACTCCACTCGCCGTGTTTGGAGGAAGAAGAAGGATGAGTACAACCCCAAGAACACCATCCCAACCGTGAAGCATGGAGGTGGAAACATCATTCTTTGGGGATGCTTTTCTGCAAAGGGGACAGGACGACTGCACCGTATTGAGGGGAAGATGGATGGGGCCATGTATCGCAAGATATTGGCCAACAACCTCCTTCCCTCAGTAAGAGCATTGAAGATGGGTCGTGGCTGGGTCTTCCAGCATGACAAAGACCCGAAACACACAGCCAGGGCAACAAAGGAGTGGCTCCGTAAGAAGCATCTCAAGGTCCTGGAGTGGCCTAGCCAGTCTCCAGACCTGAACCCAATAGAAAATCTTTGGAGGGAGCTGAAAGTCCGTATTGCCCAGCGACAGCCCCGAAACCTGAAGGATCTGGAGAAGGTCTGTATGGAGGAGTGGGCCAAAATCCCTGCTGCAGTGTGTGCAAACCTGGTCAAGACCTACAGGAAACGTATTAATTGCAAACAAAGGTTTCTGTACCAAATATTAAGTTCTGCTTTTCTGATGTTTCAAACACTTACAGTGAGGGAAAAAAGTATTTGATCCCCTGCTGATTTTGTACGTTTGCCCACTGACAAAGAAATTATCAGTCTATAATTTTAATGGTAGGTTTATTTGAACAGTGAGAGACATAATAACAACAAAAAAATCCAGAAAAACGCATGTAAAAAATGTTATAAATTGATCTGCATTTTAATGACGGAAATAAGTGTTTGACCCCCTCTCAATCAGAAAGATTTCTGGCTCCCAGGTGTCTTTTATACAGGTAACGAGCTGAGATTAGGAGCACACTCTTAAAGGGAGTGCTCCTAATATCAGTTTGTTAACTGTATAAAAGACACCTGTCCACAGAAGCAATCAATCAATCAGATTCCAAACTCTCCACCATGGCCAAGACCAAAGAGCTCTCCAATGATGTCAGGGACAAGATTGTAGACCTACACAAGGCTGGAATGGGCTACAAGACCATCGCCAAGCAGCTTGGTGAGAAGGTGACAACAGTTGGTGTGATTATTCGCAAATGGAAGAAACACAAAATAACTGTCAATCTCCCTCGGCCTGCGGCTCCATGCAAGATCTCACCTCGTGGAGGTACAATGATCATGAGAACGGTGAGGAATCAGCCCAGAACTACATGGGAGGATCTTGTCAATGATCTCAAGGCAGCTGGGACCATAGTCACCAAGAAAGCAATTGGTAACACACTACGCCGTGAAGGACTGAAATCCTGCAGCCCCCGCAAGGTCCCCCTGCTCAAGAAAGCACATATACAGGCACGTCTGAAGTTTGCCAATGAACATCTGAATGATTCAGGGGAGAACTGGGTGAAAGTGTTGTGGTCAGATGAGACCAAAATGGAGGTCTTTGGCATCAACTCAACTCGCCGTGTTTGGAGGAGGAGGAATGCTGCCTATGACCCCAAGAACACCATCCCCACCGTCAAACATGGAGGTGGAAACATTATGCTTTGGGGGTGTTTTTCTGCTAAGGAGACAGGACAACTTCACCGCATCAAAGGGACGATGGACAGGGCCATGTACTGTCAAATCTTGGGTGACAACCTCCTTCCCTCAGCAAGGGCATTGAAAATGGGTCGTGGATGGGTATTCCAGCTTGACAATGACCCAAAACACACGGCCAAGGCAACAAAGGAGTGGCTCAAGAAGAAGCACATTAAGGTCCTGGAGTGGCCTAGCCAGTCTCCAGACCTTAATCCCATAGAAAATCTGTGGAGGGAGCTGAAGGTTCGAGTTGCAAACGTCAGCCTCAAAACCTTAATGACTTGGAGAAGATTTGCAAAGAGGAGTGGGACAAAATCCCTCCTGAGATGTGTGCAAACCTGGTGGCCAACTACAAGAAAGGTCTGACCTCTGTGATTGCCAACAAGGGTTTTGCCACAAAGTACTAAGTCATGTTTTGCAGAGGGGTCAAATACTTATTTCCCTCATTAAAATGCAAATCAAATTATAACATTTTTGACATGCGTTTTTCTGGATTTTTTGTTGTTATTCTGTCTCTCACTGTTCAAATAAATCTACCATTAACATTATAGACTGATCATGTCTTTGTCAGTGGGCAAACGTACAAAATCAGCAGGGGATCAAATACTTTTTTCCCTCACTGTATGTCATGCAATAAAATGCAAATGAATGACTTAAAAATCATACAATGTGATTTTCTGGATTTTTTATTACAGACCTCTACATGCTTTGTAAGTAGGAAAACCTGCAAAATCGGCAGTGTATCAAATACTTGTTCTCCCCACTGTACAGTTGAAGTCGGAAGTTTACATACACCTTAGCCAAATACATTTAAACTCAGTTTTTCATAATTCCTGACATTTAATCCTAGTAAAACTTCCCTGTCTTAGGTCAGTTAGGATCACCACTTTATTTAAAAAATTTGAAATGTCAGAATAATAGCAGAGATAATGATTTATTTCTGTTTTTATTTCTTTCATCACGTTCCCAGTGGGTCAGAAGTTTACATACACTCAATTAGTATTTGGTAGTATTGCCTTTAAATTGTTTAACTTGGGTCAAACGTTTCAAGTAGCCTTCCACAAGCTTCCAAAATAAGTTGGGTGAATTTTGGCCCATTCCTCCTGACAGAGCTGGTGTAACTGAGTCAGGTTTGTAGGCCTCCTTGCTCGCACACGCTTTTTCAGTTCTGCCCACAAATGTTCTATAGGATTGAGGTCAGGGCTTTGTGATGGCCACTCCAATATCTTGACTTTATTGTCCTTAAGCCATTTTGCCACAACTTTGGAAGTATGCTTGGGGTCATTGTCCATTTGGAAGACCCATTTGCGACCAAGCTTTAACTTCCTGACTGATGTCTTGAGATGTTGCTTCAATATAGCCACATAATTTTCCTTCCTCATGATGCCATCTATTTTGTGAAGTGCACCAGTCCCTCCTGCAGAAAAGCACCCCCACAGCATGATGCTGCCACCCCCGTGATTCACGGTTGGGATGGTGTTCTTCGGCTTGCAAGGACCCCCCTTTTTCCTCCAAACATAACGATGGTCATTATGGCCAAACAGTTATATTTTTGTTTCATCAGACCAGAGGACAATTCTCCAATTTTTCTCCAAAAAGTACGATCTTTGTCCCCATGTGCAGTTGCAAACCGTAGTCTGGCTGGACCAAAGTACGTTCATCTCTAGGAGACAGAATGCGTCTCCTTCCTGAGCCGTGTGACGGCTGCGTGCTCCCATGGTGTTTATACTTGCGTACTATTGTTTGTACAGATGAACGTGGTACCGTCAGGCATTTGGAAATTGCTCCCAACAGTGGTCCTCTGTAGCTCAGCTGGTAGAGCACGGCGCTTGTAACGCCAAGGTCGTGGGTTCGATCCCCGGGACCACCCATACACAAAAGAAAATGTATGCACGCATCACTGTAAGTCGCTTTGGATAAAAGTGTCTGCTAAATGGCATATTATATGAACCAGACTTGTGGAGGTCTACAATTTCTTGGCTGATTTCTTTTGATTTTCCCATGATGTCAAGAAAATAGGCACTGAGTTTGAAGGTAGGCCTTGAAATACATCCACAGGTACACCTCCAATTGACTCAAATTATGTCAATTAGCCTATCAGAAGCTTCTAAAGCCATGACATCATTTTTTGGAATTTTCCAAGCTGTTAAGAATAATAGTGAAGACATCAAAACTATGAAATAACACATATGGAATCATGTAGTAACCAAAGAATTGTTAAACAAATCAAAATATATTTATATTTGAGATTCTTCAAATAGCCACCCTTTGCCTTGATGACAGCTTTTCACACTCTTGGCATTCTCTCAACCAGAATAATGTGGTAGTCACCTGGAATGCATTTCAATTAACAGGTGTGCCTTCTTAAAAGTTAATTTGTGGAATTTATTTCCTCCTTAGTGCATTTGAGCCAATCAGTTGTGTTGTGACAAGGTAGGGGTGGTATACAGATGATAGATGATGGCCTCCTGAGTGGTGCAGTGGTCTAAGGCACTGCATCACAGTGCTAGCTGTGCCACTAGAGATCCTGGTACGAATCCAGGCTTTGTCGTAGCCGGCCGCGACCGGGAGACCCATGGGGCGGCGCACAATTGGAATACTTTAGCAATAAATGAACACATTTGAGGACCAAAATGTTTTATGATTATTTAGCATGATCCTTTCACATAAAAGGAGAAAAAAGGAAAGGGGTAGAACAGGCCAATATAAACCATTACTAATTGGCTCATTAAAAAAGAGTAGATATGGAGTTCGTGCTTGTACAATGTGTATTCTTCTAAACCCTTCCAGCTTCGTTCAGAAATGTAAATTTGGGGATTTGTGTACATTGGTGTATTTAGAGCTTTTCTCAGAAGTTGAACTGGTGTTCAAGGAAATGGAAATCGATCGCTAGGCTAATTGACTTCAATACACAGGAAGAGAAAGTGTGAAACCAGCTTTTGAAGTTGCTAGGCTTTTTCCTGCATAAGATAATAGTTAGGCTATAGTTTACTTTTCGTTCATCCTAATCGCCCCGAAAAAATATATACATATATTGTAATTAATTGAGAGAGAATTTGCGAATTAGTTTTTATAGGCCCAACTCAACAAATCAATTTGTTGAGTTGGGCCTATAAAAAATATATATATATATATTGCACATGATAACGTCTGTCATCAATATTGATCAATTCGATTAAGCATAATTTGGCAATTAATTTTTAGTAGGCATGTGACAAATGACAGGACAGCAAATGGGGTGCTGAAGAACAAATATTACTCTCGCAGTGAATGGGCTATGAGACAGTAGGCCTATGTAGATTGACTCTGCTTTGTGCATTCAACAAGCGCTGCCTGCCCTGCGCTCCAATCTCCACGGGGTTCCTCTTTGCAGTCGATTGCCCCGGGACGAGATCTGACAGTCTGACACAGGGAGTGTCAGACAACAGCGACAGCGGAAACAGCGGGTTTATACACCATTGCCGCTTTCATCTGTTTCTTGTCAATTCGTGGCAAGGTCACCATCTGCAATTCAGGATTTGAGAGGTGGGTACTGGGCTCCACTATAGGCCTGTAACACCTGAACGTGCCCAGATTAATTTGGGGTGGACCGTGGGCGTTATGGGATTGAGAGGGTGTTCCCGCTATAAGAGGGCACCGCTACCCAGCGCTGAGCGCATCATTTACGCATCACCAGACCAAGCTGTAGAGGTACATGGAATTCTATCTCTCTTCATCAATCAAGAATTCACTGCACACAGACTGACTTGCCATAAAGAAATGGATTTTACTGCACTTTTTGGAGACCAAGATCAATGTAAAGGTAGGCTATGTAAATAATTTTCAAATGTTCCGGTTGTAGGCCTATGTTACAATTGTGACAGTTATATTTTAGAGCACAAAGAAACAAACAAAAACATAAAGTTATAATATATAGAAAGATATCCATTGATTTAAACAGAAATGCAGATGAAAACGAAACGAAAACATACGGTACACTTCGTTTAATAATTCCTCAATTGTCTTTAATAAATTTCTAACGCTATACCGGTATTTTAGGCTACTTAAATAATAATCTATGAATCATAGATTAGCCAAATTTTAATTTCTCAAAATTGTTGTTTTTGTTGTTGTTTAGACGTGAGGAATGACAATGGACGTTCATCACCCGAACCTGAGAGAAGCGGGTTTACAGAGGGCCAAAGGAAACGCAAAAGAACCATCTTCAGCCGCGCGCAATTGTCTGAGTTAGAACAAGCTTTCGCTCTGACGCCGTACCCAGACATCACTCTCCGTGAACGCTTGGCCGCACATACGCATCTACCTGAAAGCAAGATACAGGTTTGTGAAGTGATAATAACTAAAAGTTAGTTATTTACACTTTCTGTATATATATATATATATATATATATATTTTGCATTTAGGCTACAACAACATATTTACCTGACTCTACTCATTTTTCACAGGTGTGGTTCCAAAACAGACGGGCAAGAAGTATCAAGAGTGGAAGACTCACCAAATCAACTAAGACTACTTTTGGAAGAGGTGCAACATGCCAACCTCGCCCAATGGTCCCCTCCCCTGGTCCCTCCTTCACCCCAACCACAATGGGGGAGATGTTCCGACCAGACCAGATTCAGTGTGATGATGGTCAGCAGTTCTACTCTGACTGGATCCGTCTCTACAGCAACCCTGTGTCTCATCAGCCTACACCGGTCTCCCCAAACCTGGCAGAATCCCTACTGTGGGAGGAAGACCGCCGATCTCACCTGGGATCTCTTGCTACTACCACTGCACCCATTGGAAGGCAAGCACACTCCTCACGGCCATTCCGGGATGGGTTCAACCAGCCCTGTGTGGGGACCTCAGGGTATAGGAACTTTAATCCACAGACTCTAGCTGAGTCACAGGCCAGATATGGTCATCAAACCTCAGTGGACCAGGTTGTCCCTTCCCATCCACAGCAGATGTACTGGGATGTGACTCAAGGACAGGGTCATCATACTCAGGTGGGCCCCCAGACCTCAATCGGATACATTTCGGACCTGATCTATAATGCTGCTATTGTCACCAACTTCCTGGAGTTCTAATGTCCTGCCCCTGCTTACCTATAGCCTGGTGGTCCCAGCTCTGGTGGTGCTGTCTTGCCAGGAGGCAAGACAGCACAAACCGATGTGGGATCACTAGGCTATAACACTTGCCCAATACAGTGTATTCTGAAAGTATTCACACCCCTTGACTTTTTCCACATTTTGTTGTGTTACAGCCTGAATTCAAAATTGATTAAATATTTTTAAAAATCACACCCATCTACACACAATACCCCATAATGACAAAGTGAAAACATGCGTTTAGACATTTCAGCAATTTTATTGAAAATGAAATACAGAAATATACATTTACATAAGTATTCACACCCCTGAGTCAATATACTGTATGTTAGACTCACCTTTGGCAGGGATTACAGCTGTGAGTCTTTCTGGGTAAGTCTCTATGAGTTTTGCACACCTGGATTGTACAATATTTGCACATTATTCTTTTAAGAATTATTCAAGCTCTGTTAAGTTGGTTGTTGATCATTGCTAGACAGCCATTTGCAAGTCTTGCCATATATCTTCAAGATGATTTCAGTCAGAACTGTAACTAGGCCACTCAGGAACATTCATTGTCATCTTGGTAAGCAACTCCAGTGTACATTTGGCCTTCTCCTGCTGAAAGGCGAATTTGTCTCCCAGGTCTGTTGGAAAGCAGACTGAACCAGATTTTCCTTTAGGATTTTGCCTGTGCATAGCTCTATTCTGTTTATTTTTATCCTAAAAAACTCCCTAGTCCTGACAAGCATACCCATAACATGATGAAGCCACCACCATGCTTCAAAATATGAAGAGTGGAACTCAGTGATGTGTTGTGTTGGATTTGCCCCAAACATAACGCTTTGTATTCAGGACATAAAGTACATTTCTTTGCCACATCTTTTGCAGTTTTACTTTAGTGCCTTATTGCAAACAAATGCATGTTTTGGAATATTTGTATTATGTACTGGCTTCTTTCTTTTCACTCTGTCATTTAGGTTAGTATTGTGGACTAACTACAATGTTGTTGATCCATCATCGGTTTTCTCCTATCACAGCCATTAAACTCTGTAACTGTTTTAAAGTCACCATTGGCCTCGTGGTGAAATCCCTGAGCAGTTTCCATCCTCTCCAGCAACTGAGTTAGGAAGGACGCTTGTATCTTTGTAGTGACTGGGTCTATTGATACACCATCCAAAGTGTAATTAATAATATCAATAGGTGCCCTTCTTTTCAAGGGATTGGAAAACCTCCCTGGTCTGTGTTTGAAATTCACTGCTCGACTGAGTGACCTTACAGATAATTGTATGTGTGGGGTACAGAGATGAGGTAGTCATTCAAAAATCATGTTAAACACTATTATTGCACACATAGTGAGTCCATGCAATTTATGTGACTTGTTAAGTCTCCTGTAGCTCAGTTGGTAGAGCATGGCGCTTGCAACGCCAGAGTTGTGGGTTCGTTTCCCACGGAGGGGGCCAGCATGAAAAATGTATGCACTCACTAACTGTAAATCTGCTAAATGACGAAAATGTTAAGTACATTTTTACTCCTGAACTCATTTAGGCTTGCCATAACAAAGAGGTTAAATACTTATTAACTCAAGACATTTCAGCTTTTCATTTTTAATTAATTTGTACACATTTCTAAAAATATAACTCCACTTTGACATTATGGGGTATTGTGTGTAGGCCAATGACACATCTCAATTTAATCAATTTTAAATTCAGGCTGTAACACAACAAAATGTGGAAAAGGTCAAGGGGTGTGAATACTTTCTGAAGGCACTGTATGTGTGTTGTCTGTCTCTCCACATTGGCAGAAATCTGTCCAATTGTAACATTTTCTTTGTTTTTATTTTGTTGTTAAATGTGTGGATCTTATATCTTGTGTCTTTCATTAGCTTGTGAATAATCGTAATATGTATGTTTACTTCATCCAAAGAGGAATAAATTGATTTATTTCACCATTGTAATGATTGATTAGAAGTTTAATATGACCTTTTTAAAACAGTAAAATAATAATATATGGTTACAGAGATGGGGTTACCTATAGGAGAGCCCTCTCATAGTTTTATTTTGTAAGGTCTTTGATGGTCAAGCAGCTTTCTGCTATGAGTATAAGAGGACCAATATGCATAACGTGCTGTAACGTTACATAGTTGTTTACTGAGGTATTTGTATTCTTCCTGACATAGAATCAGCTCTCATAGATCCATTTGGTCTGTTCTTCATTCTAGGTGGATTTGATTCAACATTTCATGTTTCCGGTAGTATTATCTTTCAAAATATCCTGATTAAAATGATTCCTTGTGGAAAGATACCACGATATAAATAATTATTTCCCAAAGATTTCTTTTCCCCCCCCCCATAAGTATGGGGTGGACAGAGGAAAAAATTAATAATAAGAAATAAATTAAAACTGAAGCTCAGGGTCTATCAGCTTACCAGCTCTTTAATTCTAGCTGGGTTTAAGGTCTCCATTGAAGTATTACATGTGAGTAATACAGTAAAGATATGACAAGAGCACTATGACAGTTCACCCCGGCCTGCTGGACAGTGATCTCTGCATATCATAATCATCTTTAATACCAAATAATCTTTCAATAAACCCTTAATCCGGGTGTCAAATCTCAGATCTTTGAGAGATACTTTTTTGTATTCCAGATGTAGTTACATCCTTTAATCTTTCAACTGATATGAAAGGACAGGACTGAAAGGAAATTGTCCAGAGATACAGTACAGGTGGGGGAAAAGTCATAACACAAGCCAGATACCGTATTAAAATTGTTTTGAATCATGAAAAGAGATATGTGTTGTCATAGAAGGGATTTAAGTACGATACAGCTCTCAGGGTAACTGTAATTGGTTGTTTGTTTCTGACCTGTAAAATCCATCTTGCTCTCTAATTCACCTCAAAACAGATTAGTGCCCATCGGCAATTGAAGACAATACTGTTTGCCACATCTGGCAGCAGGTAAGCTATATGCTAGAACAGAGTTTCCCAAACTCGGTCCTGGGGCCTCCCCTGGGTGCACATTTTGGTTTTTGCCATAGCACAGCTGTTGAATCAGCTGTGTAGTGTTAGGGCAAAAACCAAAAAGTTCACCCAGGGGGCCCAACAGGACTGAGTTTGGGAAACCCTGTGCTAGAGAGCTGGCTGGAGTAATAACTTCACTAGTTACTGTATAGTCATAAACAACCATATTCTCCAAAGACAGTGCCTGGGAGTTTTTCTAGCCCAAGTATAGGTCAATTGTACTCACTCTGATGTGAGACAATTGTCACTCAAAGTTTACCACTTGCCTCAGTTTACTGTAAATGAACAGGTACAATGGACAAAAACAACAATCTATTTTATTTCCAATAGAACATGGAATATCCCTAATATTACCAGGGCTAAAAAGCTCAATGTAAGGGTAGAGAGGGATTTATCAAGAATTGTTATGAAGCAGCTCAAGGCTTCAATCCTAACCATAGAGGGGGTATGTTTGTTTGTGTGTGTGTGTGTATATACAGTACCAGTCAAAAGTTTGGACACACCTACTCATTCAAGGGTTTTTCTTTATTTTTACATTGTAGAATAATAGTGAAGACATCAAAACTATCAAATAACACAAGAGTGTGCAAAGCTGTCATCAAGGCAAAGGGTGGCTATTTGAAGAATATCAAATATCAAATATATTTTGATTCGTTTAACACTTTTTTGGTTACTACATGATTCCATATGTGTTATATCATAGTTTTGATGTCTTCACTATTATTCTACAATGTAGAAAATAGTAAAAAAATTAAGAAAAACCCTTGAACGAGTAGGTGTGTCCAAACCGTGGACTGGTTCTGTATATACAATAGATATATATTTTTTTACATTGAACCAAACTGCTCTCAGAGTATGTAATTACATGGGCGCAAATTTTATTGAATAGACAAACAATACTGACTACACAGACAGGCCCTATAAAAGCAAAATGGATGTAAATAAATAGCTAAATATCCCAACTTGTTTAGTGCACATCAGTAAATAAATGAGTTGGGAAACATGGAGTCAACATCCTCATAATAGAGAAGCGATGGTAAAGCACAAACAAGTTTTACATCTGGGTCACATTCAAATCTTCACACTAATCTGTTTTCAATTTATGAACAACGTGGGACAATTCATATCACTAGTTTTGTGGTTATGTCAAAGCAGTACATCAACTTCCACTCAGGTAGCCTAGCGGTTAAGAGGTTGGGCCAGTATCCGAAAGGTTGCTCGTTCGAATCCCCAAACTGACCAGGTGAAAAATCTGTTGATGTGCCCTTAACCCTAATTGCTCATGTAAGTCGCTCTGGATAAGACTCAAAAAAGCTAAATGACTCAAATGTAATGTAAATGTAACCCCTTTGATTTCCTTTTTGAAGTCCACTGGTGGGTCAGGTAAGGGCATAGTTCTCCAGGAATGTGTTTTGTTGATAAGAACACAGACCGGTGCTATGGTTCTCCTAGCTCTCCCTCCATGGTCCTTACTAGAACATACAGCTCTGCCAGGCCGACTACGGACGCAGCAATCACTGCAGATATCACCCTCTGAAACACACAAGCAAACATGTCAACAAAGATACTGATTCTTAAACAGGGTTAAAGGGTTTTGAAATGTAGCTTTCTTCGTGATTACATTTTCAAACAATATTTTTGTCATATTACAACACAATGCAGTACTAGTTTAATCATCGCTTATCATGCAATCGAGGTTTAAGTGACACGATTAATCTCGTCAGGCAATAGGGGATTATGCTTTCCCAGCTTGTACGAGTGAGGGATCTTTGTATGGATTCTTACCGACGTTGTCTCTGTGAAGAGGTATTGGCTGCCGAGATAGGAGCATGCGAACGTCGCCACCACTGTCACTAGGAAGTTTAAGACTGTCACAACAGCAGCTTTGGCTGAGCGCACTAGAGACAGACCACACACACACGTCAACATTAGAGGAGGATGGGTTGAGGAAAAGGTAGATGAAGAGGACAGTAAGAATCTTAGAGACAGATTGCATGCAAACGTTTGTAACCCATACCAACCTTCTCTCCCAAAGTCTGCCAGTGTTTCACGACGATTAATTTGCTGGGGGGCAGAGAAGAACTCATATGAATTAACAACACAACCCCAAACCCAAATATGTCAATCCAATACATACAGTAGGCTACATGCTGAGTGTGCACTGTGCAATTCACCTGAGTGTTTACATTCCGTGTGATCCTGTTGTATTCTTCATTGGCCAACTTGGCTTTGATTCGTTCCAGACGAGCCACAAGCACAGGGTTCTGTCACAAACAGGGTGTAACACTTTAGTGTGGTCCTCATGATGGAGATCAAATTAAGTAACTGAAGGAATAACCATACACCGAGATCTCACTTACTCTGGGGGGTGTTTCAACCTTAGGCAGGTGCAATGAGCTGTCCTCCAACAACTCATTAAGGTAGAAGGGTTGACCTGAGAGGAAGGAAAAGCACACATAGGCTAGTACTTAATTCGTGAAATTTAAGACCTGTGTAGCTATATGTAATATAACTGTATTTATAAATACCATTGTCTTGCAGACATTTATGAAGTTTTCTTGCAGTTCTGAAGGACAGAGTTGATGGTTGTTCCTGTTGAAGAATATCCTCCAATTCTTTCTGTAGTTCTGTTGGAACTGAAGCCTCATCCTTCTCCAACAAGTCTCTTACCCTCTCTCGAAATGTGTTTCCAATCACAAATGACGACGCCATTCTCTTTAGCTAACGTTAACTGTCAAACTTATGTAGTTAGCTACAATGAACTGTGCTAACAAGTGGCTGGATTAGCTAGTTGTTATTCTCCCGTACTGGCTGGTAGAGCAGAGTTAGCCTGCTGATCTAGCTAGCTACAAGAAGAGAAGGCTCTGGCTACAAGGATAACTAGCAGCTAACGGCGTTAGCTAGCAAACCTACGACCAGAAGGAAACGTTGACAGTTTATACAGATGATCCATTCCCAATTCTTCACAAATTGATACATTTAGTATTCATCTAATCATCGTATTAACTACCCATTTTAAGTTGTCCGGTAATGATGAGAGTTTAGTTAATTTTACTAACTAGAAGTAACGACAGCCGAGAGAGGAAGCAGCCAGAGTTGTCTGAAGCATCTATGTTTACCTTGTGACAGGATCTGACGTAGGTAGCTATGTCCACTCAAAAATAAATACAAAGAATACTGTACTTTCAAACATAGTTCATATTATACAGTATTTGTATACATGTAGGGGAAATTATTATCGTGTTGATTTTTGTGCAAGTATTGTTTTCAAATATAGTTATTATTTCAATTGATTGTGGTTAATGTCAGGGGAAATAAAATAATGATATAGCTAGTTCAATGACAATGGCTTGAAATAAATGCATAATAATTAAAGCCCCCATGTAAATCACCGTGTGTGTTATTTAAATATATATATAACTACAAAATATATTTTTCATAACTTATTTCCTTGAGCCTCCTTGGGCCACTGAAATGCTCAGTACAACTGTGTGGGCATGGGGATACAAATGTTAATACGTTTGCATATACAGCCCTGATTGGCTGATATAATCATCTAGAGACCACCCCCTTACCCCTTCAAAAAACAAAAAACAAAGGCACATGGTATTCAACTTGTCAGTTGGAGCTGGAGTTGGACCCTGAAAGCAACAAACTTCCACAGGTGTGTGCGCGCGCTACTTTGTTGTGTCATCAAAACAAAAGGCATACATCACACATCGCATTTCCACTGCTCCCGAGTCCAATGGCAGCGAGCTTTACACAACTCCAGCCGACGCTTTGCATTGGCTGGAGTTTCATAGTCATAGAATCTACTATCATAAGGTTAGGCAATACAAAGACAAACTACCTGAAGTGCTGCTTGTTCATCCTCGTTGATTCACTGGTGTAGGAGAGGGAGGTTATTTTTATGCTGAAAGACAAATTCCAGAAAAATAGGTTAGAGTTAAAGATGTATTGATCATCTCCTATAGCTAGTTATTGCCTGTTGACTGCTGCAACTGTACTTCAATCGAGTACAGGCTTAACTGAATGAACTACAGAGACCGAATACAATATGGAAAAGTCTTAATGGGAAATGGCCACGTCTCCGATGAATGCTGATGACAGATGCTGGTAACCCTTTGCTGGGATGGGAAACAGAGTGAACAGCTTGATGAAGTTAAACGAGCATTCAGACCAGCCTTCCTGATTGAACTTTCGTAAACTACATTAAAATTCACCAGCTAAAAAACAAGTCACAGAGGTTGCCTGCCCAATACTTAACCTGCTTCCAGCCAAACTAAGCACTGGCAATGCAGACACAACAAGATAAATTGCTAGATAAAAAACAACAACATTTAACTTCATAATTACCAGCTAGCTGGATGTGAGTTGACTCACTGAGTATCATACATCATGAATACGGAGTTAAGCGTAACTATGCGTTCAAACAGGGCTGCAATGAAAACGAATGGTCATACAACTAATGTGTTAGCATCAAGCTTTGATTGACATGGCAATGGACAAATTATATTTGAGAAAAGCTGAAAAAACGGACCCCTTCTGGCGCAAATTTTATTTTGTTCCGTGTTACGAAGTATTGTACGTAGTTTAATATTCAAACAACGACCTAGCTATACCTTCTGTGCAGCCAATTTAGCTAGCTACAGTAATAATAGCCAGTTTGCAGTGGTGGAAAAAGTACCCAATTGTTATACTTGAGTAAAAGTAAAAATACCTTAATAGAAAATTACTCAAGTAAAAGTGAAAGTCACCTAGCAAAATACTACTTGATTAAAAGTCTAAAAGTATTTGGTTTTAAATATACTTAAGTTTCAAAAGTAAATGTAATTGTTAAAATATACTTAAGTATCAAAAGTAAAAGTATAAATCATTTCACATTCCTTATATTAAGCAAACCAGACGGCACAATTTTTTGTAATACATTTTTTACAGATAGCCAGGGGCACAATCCAACACTCAGACATCATTTACAAACAAAGCATTTGTGTTTAGTGAGTCCGCCAGATCAGAGGCAGTAGGGATGACCAGAGATGTTCTCTTGATAAGTGTGAATTGGACCATTTTCCTGTCCTTCTTAGCATTCGAAATGTAACGAGTACTTTTGTGTATCAGGAAAAATGTATGGAGTAAAAAGTATATTATTTTCTTTAGGAATGTAGTGGAGTAAAAGTAAAAGTTGTCAAAAATATACTACTTAAGTAGTACTTTAAAGTATTTTTACTTAAGTATAATAATAATAATATAATATGCCATTTAGCAGACACTTTACACCACTGCCAGTTTGTCCCACTGACGTATGTGTTTCGATTAGCATTCAAACCACATTTAATATTTTCCTCATTGATCATGAAAAACAGACAATAATGACAAAGATGATGGTAGCAAACGCATGAGCAATCAACATTAATCCAGCTAACATAAGGCTAACTAGCTAGAATGCAGGGTTGTCACTAGTTACCACAGCCACAAAGTCATAAACCCCGCCGATTTCTACAAATTATATTATTAGAATGTGATTTTGAATCTAACCTTAACCCTAACCACACTGCTAACCTTATGCCTAAACTTAACCTTAAATTAATTTTAAGTTTTCATGAATAGCCAATTTTGACTTTGTGTTTGTGCTATCTAGTGGAAACCAGTATAGTATGCAGCTGCCTGTCAGTATGCAGCTGGCTAGCTAACAACATAACTGCCTCTCCTCCACCTGTGAATCAACGAGGGTGAACAACAAGTTTCAAGTTTTAATGTTACGTGTACAAGTACAGTGAAATGCCTTTCTTGCAAGTTCAAACCCAACAATGCCATATTCTATATCAATGTAGTACTAAAAATAGCATAAGGTAGAACAGAAACACAAGAAATAAAAAGAAGAAATAAGATGAACACGAGAAAGTTAGAAGCTATGATACAGGGTCAGTTCCAATACCACATTTACAATGTGCAGGGATACCGGAGTTCCTTGGCGTACACATCACTAACAAACTTAAATGGTCCACCCACGCAGACAGTGTGGTGAAGAAGGCGCAACAGAGCCTCTTCAACCTCAGGAGGCTGAATAAATTTGGCTTGGCACCTAAAACCCTCACAAACTTTTACAGATGCACAATTGAGAGCATCCTGTCGGGCTGTATCACCGCCTGGTACGGCAACTGCATCGCCCGCAACCGCAGGGCTCTCCACAGGGTGGTGTGGTCTGCCGAACGCATTACCGGGGGCAAACTACCCGCCCTCCAGGACACCTACAGCACCCGATGTCACAGGAAGGCCAAAAAGATAATCAAGGACATCAACCACCCGAGCCACTGCCTGTTCACCCCGCTATCATCCAGAAGGCAAGGTCAGTACAGGTGCATCAAAGCTGGGACAGAGAGAATGAAAAACAAGCACACTATAGGCTGCTGCTGCCTATTGAAATCACTGGCCACTTTAAGAAATGGAACACTAGTCACTTTAATAATGTTTACATATCTTGCATTACTCATCTCATATGTATATACTGTATTCTATAATATTCTACTGTATCTTAGTCCATGCCGCTCTGTCATTGCTTGTCCGTATATGTATATATTCTTAAATTCCATTCCTTACTTAGATTTGTGTGTATTGGGTATATGTTGTGAAATTGTTAGATGTTACTTGTTAGATATTACTGCACTGTCGGAGCTAGAAGCACAAGCATTTCGCTACACCCGCAATAACATCTGCTAAAAACGTGTATTTGACAAATAAAATTTGATTTGATTTGAGTGATAGAGGTAGATACAGTGCATTCGGAAAGTATTCAGACCCCTTGACTTTTTCCAATAAAATTGAAGTTACAGCCTTATTCTAAAATGGATTCAATAGTTTTTCCCCTCATCAATCTACACACAATACCCAATAATGACAAAGCAAAAACAGGCTTTTTGAAATTTTTGCAAATGTATTAAAAATAAAAAACGTAAATATCACATTTACGTAAGTATTCAGACCCTTTACTCAGTACTTTGTTGAGGCACCTTTGGCAGCGATTACAGCCTCGAGTCTTCTTGGATATGACGCTACAAGCTTTGCACACCTGGTTCTCCCATTCTTCTCTGCAGATCCTCTCAAGCTCTGTCAGGTTGTATGGGGAGCGTCGCTGCACAGCTATTTCCAGGTCTCTCCAGAGATGTTCAATCGGCTTCAAGTCCAGGCTCTGGCTGGGCCAGTCAAGTCTTAGAGTCGTTGTCCTGTTGGAAGGTGAACCTTCGCTCCAGTCTGAAATTTCCCTAGATCCTGACTAGTCTCCCAGTCCCTGCCGCTGAAAAACATCCCCACAGCATGATGCTGCCACCACCATGCTTCACCGTAGGCATGGTGCCAGGTTTCCTCCAGACGTGACACTTGGCATTCAGGCCAAAGAGTTCAATCTTGGTTTCATCAGACCAGAGAATCTTGTTTCTCATGGTCTGAGAGTCCTTTAGGTGCCTTTTGGCAAACTCCAAGTCGGCGGTCAGGATCTGAGGAGTGACTTCCGTCTGGCCACTCTACCATAAAGGCCTGATTGGTGGAGTTCTGCAGAGATGGTTGTCCTTCTGGAAGGTTCTCCCATCTCCACAGAGGAACTCTGGAGCTCTGTCAGAGTGACCATCGGGTTCTTGGTCACCTCCCTGACCAAGGCCCTTCCCCCCGATTGCTCAGTTTGGCCGGGCGGCCAGGTCTAGGAAGAGTCTTTGTGGTTCCAAACATCTTCCATTTAAGAATGATGGAGGCAACTGTGTTCTTGGGGACCTTCAATGCTGCAGAAAGTTTTTGGTACCCTTCCCCAGGTCTGTGCCTCGACACAATCCTGTCCTGGAGTTCTACGGACAATTCCGTCGACCTCATGGCTTGTTTTTTTGCTCTGACGTGCACTGTCAACTGTGGGACCTTATATAGACAGGTGTGTGCCTTTCCAAATCATGTCCAATCAATTGAATTTACCACAGGTGAACTCCAATCAAGTTGTAGAAACATCTCAAGGAAGACTGAAACAGGATGCACCTGAGCTCAATTTCGAGTCTCACAGCAAAGGGTCTGAATACTTATGTAAATAAGGTATTTCTGTTTTTAAGTTTTTGTAAATTTGTAAAATTTTCTACTAACCTGTTTTCATTTAGTCAATATTGGGTATTGTGTGTAGATTGATGAGGAAAATATATAATTTAATCAATTTTAGAATAAGGCTGTAACGTAACCAATTGTGGAAAAAGTTAAGTCTGAATACTTTCCGAATGCACTGTATGTATAGGAGTAACGTGACTAGGCATCATGATAAACAGTAGCAGCAGCGTAAATTAAGATTCTATGTGAGTGTGTGTGCTTGTGTGTAGAGTCAGTACAAATGTGTGTGCATGTTATGTGTGTGTTTGCGTGTCAGTGTGTGTGAGTGTGTAGAGTCCTTTGAGTGTGTAGAGTCCTGTGAGTGTGCTTAGAGACAGGGCAAAAATTAAAATAAATACAAGGGTCAACTCAGATAGTCTGTGTAGCCATTTTGTTAGCTATTTAGCAGTCTTATGGCATGGGGATAGAAGCTTTTCAGGAGCCTGTTGGTGTCAGAATTGATGCACCGGTACCGCTTGCCGTGCGGAAGCAGAGAGAACAGTCTATGGCTTGGGTGGCTGGATTCTTTAACAATTTTTGTTAAAGCTAGCAAAGCAAACAACTTCATACAGTTGAACAAAAAATGTATGCAAAAAAAAACAAATATGTTTTATTGTCACATACAGCGGATAGGTGCAGTGAAATATAACATGAGTCTTTTTACCTGTGTATGAATGAATGATTCACAGCAAAAGACTGAAAGTAAAACTGTATTCTCACTCGGCATTAACTTTTTTTCTGACTTTCTTGACTGAGAGCTGTGTCGTCGATGGCACCAGGTGAATTCAAGGCAACACATTATTGAAAGCTGTAGCTTCATTTTGCATGTTGTCCATGATGAAAATATGAGTAATCCAAAGATCTGTCATTATTCAAATATCCACACAGTAATGTTAGCTAGCTAGCTAGTAGCCTAGGGCAGGATGTGTTTTTGACAGAAGAAGCCCCTCTCTCATTATAGAGTAGGAGGGTACATATGCAATTACCAGATGAATAGGCAAATACAAGATGAACGGTCATTGGTCCATTATAATCAGATCGCCGTGTGATGTAATGTGTCGACCAAAAACTCCATCCCATTCAAACAGGCTGAATTTTTTTTTTTTTAAAGCAGCTCTTACACAAAACGGGTATTATCATAATTTTCACAATTTCAGAGTTTTATTTTGACCTCATAGTACATTTTGGTCAAAATAACGCTCTGAAATTGTGTGTGACTGCACTGGGCCTTTAAATGGAGACACTTTGAACACTTGTAAATTGCAACAGAGTCCCTGATGCTAAGATTAAACTTTTTAGGCCCAGTGCATTCAAAAACGTGATATTGTTGTGTTATATATATATATCCCACGACCACTATAAGGTTGGCATAATATTGTGAAATTGTGAAAAGTATGATAATGCCCTTTCAGTGGTGGGCTGTTGCGGTGGGGTGGAGTTTTTGTCTGCCTGGTGACATCAATAGACCAATAAGAAAGAGATTTCCAAACCTCTGCCAAAAACAGCTAGTTTTCAGTTTTCCCCTCCCCACTCAGAACTCCCAGACAGTCCTAGCTAAATTCTTGCTTGAGAATTTTCTCTTTGCTAGGAATATTTGTGTTTATTTTTGATCATTTTCATTGAAAACAATCACAGTAAGGTACTTTATTGTTACCCAGAAATGATTTGATATTGACATAACAACAGCTGACCTTTAAATCAGCTTTAAAATTCGCACGCTTTTATACGTCAGCCTCGGCGTGCATGTGCAGAAGTAGGAAAGATGGCTGCTTGTGCAATACGACGAGGCTTTCTGACTACTGTCAGTAAATACAAGAAGAAACACACACATAGAATATTGAGTATTATTGAAGGGAGTAGTGGACTTCAGGTGAAGAGACCCTGGTTACCGTGTTTAGCATGTCGATTGCCCAACATTCAGCAGACGAGGTTCATATCGTCACGGTAAGGGCTACCTTCTAAGCGAATGTGTCCTAGCTAGCTAGCTGTCTAGCTAACGTGAGTTAGCAAGTTAACCAGTTTGTCCACTGTCTTTAATGCTGCCCAATGATGCATCATTGATGCTGCCATGCCTCCACTACTTTAGCTGCCACCGCTAACTATAAGATTGACAGCCAGCTAAGATAGATATAGCTACCTGGACTGAACTTACAAGCAGTGAACTTCAGTTCTCTCCCTAAATATATCTCTCTAGCTAGCTAATGTAGGAAAATAAATGCTCTGTAAATTAAATTAACATTGATTGCGCAACACTTGGCAAGAAGTCAGCTTGGAAAGTAACTTGCAGAGCTGAACTTGCAGAAACAGGAAGGTGCTAGCTAAGCTATATGATTGGCAAATGTTTTGCATAGAGCTACAATGATTTGTACATTGCACGAGTTCCTGTTGTCAGACAAATCAATTAGTTTTTAGTAAATTCCAACTTACATATCAAATTCTCAGTTTGTGTCATATCAAACAGTGTCATGTTGGCACTTTGATGCACTTGGTAACACACACACAGCTTATAGATAGACCTTAACTTGCAAGCAGAGCTGTGCATATTTTCAGTTTTCATAACTAGACTCAGAGACAGTTTCTATCTACAAGCCATCAGACTGCTGAACACTTGAACTGGACTGACCACCTGCTCTGATTCTCTGAACCTTAGCACACATTCACTCACTCATGCACACACACCCACACAGACATACACATATACTGTACATTCATGCTACACTCACATCACGACTGCTGCTACCAGACTCTCTTATTTATTATACTGCTCAATTTATACACTTGGTCGAAATTTTCAAACATATTTTTCCATATAGACACATCCTATGTGTTTTAATCAAATCAACGATATGCACTGAGCTTGTCTGGTGCTTTAAGCACACAGTTTGATGAAATAATTAAGACACACAAATGGCTAGAGGGAGTCCGACTGCAATTGATTTGATTGTGCCGGGCCGGGCTCAGTCTGCGCTGTGTGATTAACACCCGTTGTTGCTCTCTCCTCCCTGCTGCAGCGACCACCACATAACATCAACAGTGTTTATCACGCTGTCCATGTTGCTGAAGATGCAACATACTTACAGCCAATTCTGAAAAATTCTGTTACTGAAATTCCTCATTTGTTTAGGAAAAACATTCCCTATTTCCTCAAAAGCAAAGAATTAAAACAGCCGAATTTGTGAAGTTGTTTATCCGGCATGTTATGGTTGTGTGAGGCTTGGTGCTCACCGAATAAGTAGACTATTAAACAAACAGGCAACAGAGACAGGATCTGTCTTATTTCTGTATATATGGATGATTTATAGAGTCAGGCACATTTGACTTTAGACTATTGGTTATAGACCTAATTAAGTTGGAGTTTCTTCTCTCCTCACTTTTCTTAGACAATTAAGGCAAGGGCTGTTTTCTCATCTCCTAACTCCACTGCTGCCTCCGCCGCATTGTTCTCAACACTAATATGCTGGTTAACTTTGCTTTTATGCACATAGCAACATGGTCTAGGAAAAGGTGCCAATTCAACAGCGCACTGATGTGTTTCAGAACCACGGACAGTGACCGCTATCCAATGCGGGAGAAAGCGCATTTGTTATAAAATAATATTTGCACCATTGTTCTTACGTAATATAACCATATACAATTTCACTAGCACAGTCTTAGATTGATGGACTGTGTCATCCCCACGGCCTCAACAATGGATCAGTCCACTCAGACAGGTGTCTTGTACACCATGATTTCTTTTTTCTTTTATATATTTTTGCTACTGCTCGACTAAAGAAATCTCGGTCGACCAACAGCCTATCGACCAGCAAACAATCGACCAGTCTACTAAATGGGGTCAGCCCTAGCTGCAAGCCTGGTTGTTTTCAGGTTGAGGTCAAAGTGGGAGTGTAGTAGAGATCTTCTCGGCTCCAGACCCGATTGGACCTGAGTGACAAAATTAAGTTTATCAGCCCAGATGCTCTTCTGGTTAACGAATAGGTCTTTATATGTTGGCTAGGCCTTCTATAAGTCAATAAATGCACTTTATTAGCATAAAATACATATGCTATACAGAGCTGTAGTCGGGTCCACTCGGGTCTATCAGCTGTAGTTCCATAGACCCGAGACCCGTTGACAATCAAAGAGGACCTGACCAGGAAAAGTTTGAATTTTGGACCCGGCCCCGCTCAGGTTTCAGGTATTCGGGTTCGGGTGGACCCGTGAAGACCTCTAGAGTGTAGACCTACATGGACACTAAGCCACTTATCTAGAAAAAGTGACATTGGAACACTAGTAGAAAGTAGGCAACATATCTGGCCTATATTAGCTAGTTCACTTTTTGTCTATGAGTGGAAGAACGTAGAGAGCTTTGGGCCTATCGACAAAGCCTGATCTGCTGTAGATATTGCTGTTCTCTTTCTCTCTTATTTTGGTTATGATGAAATCTCCATGAAATTAGGAAACGTTAGCGATCTGACCCTCCATTTTATGTATTTGTTATGGTATTTCACCAGCCTGGTTGTGCTTTCTTGTCAGCGACGGTATTATAATCCAAGGGACAACCTCTGCCAATAATCGCCAACACAGGTGATGAACACACAAGCCGATATTATAACCGCGATCGATAAAAGACAGTACTGTGCAGCCGTCTTCATCGACCTGGCCAAGGCTTTCGACTCTGTCAATCACCGCATTCTTATTGGCAGACTAAATAGCCTTGGTTTCTCAAATGACTGCCTCGCCTGGTTCACCAACTACTTCTACTTCTCAGATAGAGTTCAATGTGTCAAATCGGAGGGCCTGTTGTCTGGACCTCTGGCAGTCTCTATGGGGGTGACACAGGGTTCAATTCTCGGGCCGACTCTATTCTCTGTGTATATCAATGATGTCGCTCTTGCTTCTGGTGACTCTCAGATCCACCTCTACGCAGACAACACCATTTTGTATACATCTGGCCCTTCATTGGACACTGTGTTAACAAACCTCCAAACGAGCTTCAATGCCATACAACACTCCTTCCGTAGCCTCCAACTGCTCTTAAACGCTAGTAAAACTAAATGCATGCTCTTCAATCGAACGCTGCTTGCGCCCGCCCGCCCGACTAGAATCACTACTCTCGGCGGGTCTGACTTAGAATATGTGGACAACTACAAATACCTAGGTGTCTGGTTAGACCGTAAACTCTCCTTCCAGACTCACATTAAGCATCTCCAATCCAAAGTTAAATCTAGATTCGGCTTCCTATTTCGCAACAAAGCCTCCTTCACTCATGCTGCCAAACATGCCATCATAAAACTGATTATCCTACAGATCCTTGACTTCGGCGATGTCATTTACAAAATAGCCTCCAACACTCTACTTAGCAAATTGGATGTAGTCTATCACAGTGCCATCCGTTTTGTCACCAAAGCCCCATATACTACCCACCATTGTGACCTGTGTGCTCTCGTTGGCTGGCCCTCACTACATATTCGTCGCCAAACCCACTGGCTCCAGGTCATCTATAAATCACTGCTAGGCAAATCCCCACCTTATCTTAGCTCATTGGTCACCATAGCAACACCCACCCGTAGTATGCGCTCCAGCAGGTATATCTCACTGGTCATCCCCAAAGCCAACACCTCCTTTGGCTGCCATTCATTCCAGTTCTCTGCTGCCAATGACTGGAACGAACTGCAAAATTCTCTGAAGCTGGAGACTCTTATCTCCCTCACTAACTTTAAGCATCAGTTGGCTGAGCAGCTTACCGATCACTGCACCTGTACACAGCCCATCTGTAATTAGCCCACCCAACTAACTCATCCCCAAATTGTTATTTATCTTGCTCATTTGCACCCCAGTATCTCTATTTGCACATCATCTTCTGCACATCTATCACGTCAGTGTTAATACTCAATTGTAATTATTTTGCACTATGGCCTATTTATTGCCTTACCTCCATAACTTACTACATTTGCACACACTGTATATAGGTTTTCTATTGTGTTATTGACTGTACGTTTTGTTTATCCCATATGTAACTCTGTGTTGTTGTTTTTATCGCACTGCTTTGATTTATCTTGGCCAGGTCGCAGTTGTAAATGAGAACTTGTTCTCAACTGGCTTACCTGGTTAAATAAAGGTGAAATAATCATCTCTTCCACCTCCATATCATCTGACAATAATATGGATATCTAGAGGCAATACTAAATCCCCCATCTATATCACCCCCCCCCACCCCCCCCCCCATGTTTTGAAGAATAGATCATCAAAGTATGAGTGACTTGAACACAGCCAGCTGTTGTTTACAATACCTTGTTGATATAATACAGTGAAGGGTAAAGCCAAAGGGAGGGACAGAGATTAGACTTGTTATTTATGTTTGTTGAACTTTGATAATTCGAGGTGTTTTATTCAATCCTGTCTGATTTGTGATTGAGATTAAGCTTTAGTCGAGGGGGATGACTATGAGATGACCTGTTCCTGTCATCTCTGTGCTCATGTTGTGTATTGTATGTACTAGCCTCCATTTCCAATCTGCTACAACACATGTGAGACTAATGTAGGCCTACAGTGTGATGTAGAGGTCTTCTTGGGTCCAAAAGGTTGGACCCGAGGACAATCAGACCTAGACCCGACCCATACCCTAACAGGTACGAGTCTAGACCAGACCCGATTGGACCCGAGTGACAAAATGTATGTTTATCAGCCAAGTTGCTCTTCTGGTTAACAAGTAGGGTCTGGGTCGGCTCTCAGGTATTCAGGTTCGCTTGGACCCGTGAAGACCTCTAGTGTGATGTGATTTTGTTCCAGTTTGTCATAGTGTGGCCTGTGTTTGGCAGGAACAGGCCAGAGGGGAAGGTTCTGGAGACGGTGGGAGTGTTTGAGGCGCTGAAGCAGCATGGCAAATATGAAACAGGCCAGGTAAGAGAGCCAGTGCCATGCTGTTTACCCACCCAGACCACAAATATTGGTCCTGTCTTTCCCTCATAATCATCATATTTTTCCTCACTGTCATATGCCTAAACATTAAGGGGCGGCTTGATTCCTAGACACAGATTAAGCCTAATCCTGGAATAAAAATAGATTTTTAATTGAGCTTGCTTTTTAGTCCAGGACTAGTCATAATCTGTGTCTGGGAAACCGGTCCTAGATGAATGGTGGTCCTGTACAATAAACCCAGGCCTATGTCGTCGTCCAGTGTATGCATACTGTAGTTGCCCTTGTCACAAAGGTATTTTCAACCTCAAGTCTATGTTTCTCCATGTTCTCTCCTCAGCTCTTCCTTCATAGTGTGTTTGGCTACAGAGGGATTGTGTTGTTCCCCTGGCACGCCCGTATCTATGACAGAGATGTCATTCCTCCCGTGTCTGACAGGTGCGTATCACATCTCCCACCGGTAGGGCCAGGAGTTTTTTCTTTTCTTAGATGTGTGTTTTTGTTTTTGATTTGAATGGGTGATTTGTCAGATATTTTTTAACAGCCATGTTCCGTCTCCCAGCAAGCCAGAGCCTCCTGGTTCACATGGGTCAAAGGAGGTGAAGGGGAAAACTCATACCTACTACCAGGTCCTCATCGACACACGGGACTGTCCTCACATAGTACGTTACCTCTGAACACTACCAATACAATGCCATTGTTCTTACTGGCTAGGCCTAAATGAAGACATATACCAGACTGCTAGTCTTCTAGTTGTTTCTCCTGTTGTGTTGACAGTCTCAGAGGTCTCAGACAGAAGCAGTGACGTTCCTGGCGAACCATGACGACAGCAGAGCCCTCTATGCCATCCCAGGTAAACACATTATCTGCTGCTCCCTATGTAGTAAATGGCTACATGCTTTGATTTCTTTTCAAACAGGACAATTGGCTAGCAGAGTTGTTAAAATAATAGTTTATTTTCATTCCCAGCACCACCCACAAAAATGCTTTGAGTTCTTATCAGCAAATGGCACTGTCAGTGTGTATGAATAATCTTGGCTGCCACGTGATTTTGTATAACTACCCTAGTTACTTCCTTGTACTACTTCTGTCCCAGCCAGCCTCCTGACTGACTGACGTTCTGCCTGGCTGTCATTGTGTGTGTTTCAGGTCTGGACTATGTGAGTCATGAGGACATCCTGCCCTACAACTCCACAGAGCAGGTCCCCATCCAGCACGAATTGTTTGAGCGCTTCCTCATGTTCAACCCTGACAAAAGTAAGCGCCAGCCGCTCGCTGCTTTCCAGTTTCCATTGTACAGCATAGTATACACTGAGTGTACAAAACATTAAGGACACCTTCCTAATATTGAGTTGCACCCCCCTTTGCCCTCAGAACAGCCCCTATTCGTCGGGGCATGGACTCTACAAGGTGTCGAAAGCGTTCCACAGGGATGCTGGCACATGTTGACTCCAATGATTCCCACAGTTGTGTCAAGTTGGCTGGATGTCCTTTGGGTGGTGGACCGTTCTTGATACACATGGAAAACTGTTGAGCGTGAAAAATCCAGCAGCGTTGCAGTTCTTGACACAAACCAGTGCGCCTGGCATCTACTACCATACTGCGTTCAAAGGCACATAAGTCTTTTGTCTTGCCCATTCACCCTCTGAATGGCACACATACACTACCGGTCGAAAGTTTTAGAACCCCTACTCATTCAAGGGTTTTTCTTTATTTTTACTATTTTCTACATTGTAGAATAATAGTGAAGACATCAAAACTATGAAATAACACATATGGAATCATTTAGTAACCAAAAAAGTGTTAAACAAATCAAAATAGCCACCCTTTGCCTTGAAGACAGCTTTGCACACTCTTGGCATTCTCTCAACCAGCTTCACCTGTAATGTAATTTATTTGGGCTGCAGTTTCTAAGTCTGGTAACTCTAATGAACTTATGCTCTGCAGCAGAGGTAACTCTGGGTCTTTCATTCCTGTGGCGGTCCTCATGAGAGCAGGTTTCATCGTAGCGCTTGATGGTTTTTGTGACTGCACTTGAAGAAACTTTCAAAGTTCTTGAAATATTTAGTATTGACTGACCTTCATGTCTTAAAGTAATGATGAACTGTTGTTTTGTCTTTGCTTATTTTAGCTGTTCTTGCCATAATATGCACTTGGTCTTTTACCAAATAGGGCTATCTTCTGTATACCCCCTCTACGTTGTCACAACACAACAGATTGGCTCAAATGCGTTAAGAAGGAAAGAAATTCCACAAATTAACTTTTAAGAAGGCACACCTGTTTATTGAAATGCATTCCAGGTGACTACCTCATGAAGCTGGTTGAGAGAATGCCAAGAGCGAGCAAAGCTCTCATCAAGGCAAAGGGTGGCTATTTGAAGAATCTCAAATATAAAATATGTTTTGATTTGTTTAACACTTTTTTTGGTTACTACATGATTCCATATGTGTTATTTCATAGTTTTGATGTCGTCACTATTATTATACAATGTAGAAAATAGTAAAAATAAAGAAAAACCCTTGAATGAGTAGGTGTTCTAAAACTTTTGACTGGTATTGTACACAATCCATGTCTCAATTGTCTCAAGGCTTAAAAATCCTCTTTAACCTGTCTCTTCCACTTCATCTACACTGATTTTGAAGTGGATTTAGCAAGTGACCTCAATAAGGGGTCATAGCTTTCACCTTGATTCACCTGGTCAGTCTATGTCATGGAAAGAGCAGGTGTCCTTAATGTTTTCTACAATCGGTGTACATTTCCAGTTATTTTTTGGAACATTCACGAATTCCAACTTCTTCCACTTAAAAAACATTCAGTAGTACTATAAAGTATTCAACATTCAATGTTTTTTTTTACATTCACAGGTACTGTAAAGTATACAATATATCCAGTTATTTTGTGAGCATTCACAAGTGTGTAATGTGTGTATGTATATGTTACGACTGTTTAAACTGAGTGTTGTGTGTGTCCAGCCACCCCAGCTCCCCCGTTCAGTGCGAGGGACACTCTGAAGGCATGGCAGGAGAAGAACCATCCCTGGCTGGAGCTGTCCGACGTACACAGAGAGACGACGGAGAACATCAGGGTTACCGTCATCCCCTTCTACATGGGCATGAGGGTAAGGATGATGTCGCTGTTGGGACTGAGGCTCTTTCTCAATCTGTCCTCTCCTTGCCGCTTCTTTTTATTGCACTGATCTGAAAGAACTGGCCAGGTGAAAGCCAGCGTAATGCGCATCCACCATATCCGTTTTTTTCTATCCGTGCAGATGAAGGGGAGGACAGGTTTTTAAGACATTGAGAGAAAGCCTCTGTTTTAATTATGTCAGTTCCTATCAAATCAATATTATACTGGGTAGTATGAGCTCTTTCCATAACTCACCCCTTTCAATAATGTTCTGCTCGTCACTGAGTCCTCCCACTCTGTCGTGTGATTCTTATGATCTTGAATCTGCGCATGAAGAATAAATAAAGTATTTTCTTTCTCAGGATGCTCAAAATTCTCATGTGTACTGGGTAAGTAGCATTTACTTTTTACAATTCCCTGAAAAAGGACAAATAATTTGAACTTTTACCAATTTATGATGTAGGCCTCGTATATCCAGTCAAGGACACAAATGTAGACTGTAAGAACAGCAACATAATGTGTACCAAACGCTGATGCTGATGTGTGTGTGTGTGTGTGTCAGTGGCGGTACTGCATCCGCCTGGAGAACATGGGCAGTGAGGTGGTGCAACTGAGGGAGAGACACTGGAGGATTTTCAGCCTGTCAGGCACCCTGGAGACGGTCCGAGGCCGGGGGGTCGTAGGCCGGGTCAATAGTACAACCACCACCACACAATGGAATTACAAACTCTCAATGGCTGTGTCTGAAAACATTACTAGCTGCCAAAATACTTGCTTCCTCTGTCCTTGTTTCCTCAATTCCTCTCCAAGCTCATTGGATGAGAGGATCTAAGGTCCCTTCCTCGGGCAACCTCCTCCAATGAGCTTTGAGGGAACAAGGACGGAGGAAGCATGTATTTGACACAGCCACTCATACAGTACGTTACCTCCACGACTGAGTAGAGGCCATAACCAATGGTTTTTATCCCCAGGAGCCAGTGTTGTCCAAAGAGCAGCCAGCCTTCCAGTACAGCAGCCATGTTTCCCTTCAAGCACCCAGTGGACACATGTGGTAAGGACTTCCCAGCTTACCTTTGGCTTCTACACACAGTAACATGACAATGGAACTGCATTATTAACATTAATTAAGAATATTGCTGTGGTAAACGTCTTACTGTGGGTCATAGAGGCAGCACACACAGCAGTTACCTGAAATGCAGGTTTATGGATGTTCTGGTCTGAGAATGACTTATTAAACTGGTTTTGCTATTTGAACCTGGTCCTTGCGGTAAACATAAGCTGGGGAAACATGAAATATATACCATGCAATTGGAATTGATGTTTGAGTGAATCTTGCACAGATTTACAGGCAAGTAAACAAACAATCTAAAACACAGGAGTAAACGCAAGAGTAACTCAAGCTTTTCAAAATCTAAAATAAATAACATCAACCTTTCTCACATTTAGTACAGAGGTGTGATGGTCAAGATTCTAATGATGCTCTCTGTACAGGGGGACGTTCCGCATCGAGCGGACGGACGGCTCCCACTTTGACGTGCGCATTCCCCCGTTCTCCCTGGAGAGTAACAAGGATGAGAAGGTACCTCCTGCTGGCTACACCCTCTGAGGCAACGCAGCAGCACCATGTCCCTCAGCGCAGTCTGACAGCCAAGCCATCCTTAGGAACGGATCAAAACCCTTCCTCTGCTACTTTTCCTTGTTGAGATTTTAAGAAACGTATTTAATCGAGCACATTGAAATGAGATGTTCAATGAAAAGGGACAAAAAATATCCTCCCAACACTATTGTGGCTAATGACAACTTTAGCTTTTTAGTGGAAAGGAGAAGGACAAGCGATCGGTCACCGAGGTTGTTGATTGAGATCGTTCTGCAGAGGCAGAATGGCTCGGTGAGCACTGATGGTATTTGCTTTTATTATTATGATGATGAGTGGGAATAAATCATGCCAATTGTTTCTCAGCCATAGTTGCTTGACCCAGAGGTAGACGTCTAAAGCCAAATAGAACATGTCCAATAGTAGCCCTACTCTTTAACAGAGACCTCAGTCAGTCAAGTCTAGACCTCATGTTCCTCTGATGTATAGTGTTCTGCAAATTCCTCTGAGTGTTGTTTGGCTTGACTGTTACTTCTTTGAGCCTCTGTGATGGGGCTTGTGGTGAAACATGAAGAAAAGGGAAAGAACCTTGTGCATGTCTCAAATGGCACCCTATTCCCTATTAAGTGCATGGGCCCTGGTCAAAAGTAGTGCACTGTATAGGGAATAGGTTGCCGGTTGGGATGTAGCCCTTGAATGTAGTAAGAAAGTGAATACAGGAGGAATCAGTGAGCTAAGGATGTCATAGTGACCCACATTGATGTTACCAACTGTAGGTTTGTCTGATGTGAGGGCCGGGTTCAGGAGGGTACAATGTTCTGTTTCAGATAGAAATGTCATGCATAGAGCAGACATGGTTCTTCATTCTACATGACAGAGAATCATGTCTGTTCCACACAATGTATTTATATCTGAACATTTCATATTGTTGCGCCCTACTGAATTCGACCATTGTGTGTTGGTGAGGGAGGTGTCTGGGAGACTGACTGGCTGTTATGCTGCTCGAGTCTGTAGTATCCATCCCTTGAGTCAGTTCTGTGGGTTGAAGTCTCAAACTTTGATTTTGCCTTGTTAAAGGAGGAAACTAACTTTTTGGTAGGTGATTTGAAATGACTGTCTCTAATGGTTGAATGATGTTCTGTAAAATAAAGTTGTAAAAATAATTAAAGAAATGGTCAGATAGTCACTGTATCAATCAGCAAATGGACAGTTAGTCTACCCCAGGGTTTCTCAAACTTGGTCCTCGGGACCCCAAGGGGCGCACGTTTTGGTTTTTGCCCTAGCGCTACACAGCTGATTCAAATAATCAACTAATCATCAAGCTTTGAACATTTGAATCAGCTGTGTAGTGTTAGGGCAAAAACCAAAGCGTGCACCCCTTGGGGTCCCAAGGACCGAGTTTGGGAAACGCTGTTCTACCTTATCCTTGCAGGAGAGTGGGGCATTTGGCTGACGCTGAGAAATTGAGCTGTGTGCACTCAGCTTATTAGGACAGCACAAGGTCATACGTTTCTCCCCTCTTGCTGTTCATCTAGAAACCTCATGTCAGAAAGAAATCCAGTTCCTTAGTAACCACAGGCAATCACTCAGATTTGAGTTTTTGAAGCCATCATGGGTCGACACTATGAAACTTCATTTAATAGTTTCTAATGCATTTGAGTAGGGCAACCAGTTCAGCTGACATATAGCACATACTGTTTCTATACGTGTAGTTCCTTCCAAGGGAAGGTTAGAGTATACAGATGGTGAATATTATTAGATTTTGCTGAACAGTTATCACGATCACTGAGAGCACACTGCTAGACCAAACCCCTACAAACATGCCCCCATCTTTCCTGTTGAATCTCTGACCTGTGATTAGGTTCTTGCTGTGCATCTTGTAATCATATGATTTGTGTGGTCCCTTTTATTATTGAACATGAAATGAAAATGTTATTTGATGGCATATTGAATATAATTTTTACTCCCATTTCAAATCTAACTGATGACAGTGAGTAGCCTATCGGCTGCTGGAATTTCTATTCATTTTAAATCAGAGAAATAGGCAACTTACATATTTAGAGAGATAATACTATACTATACTAAAGTGTTCTATAGTTTAATACTACACTATAACGCTATAAAACAATACTATGGCCCTAAAATAAAAAAGATATAGTATGTAATTCCACGCAGCCAACACCAGAGGTCAATATAATGCAATACAATGATTTGCACTTCACATAAACAGACCAATGCTGAGATTTATGTCATTTGAAATACTGCAATTACGAGACTAAAAGTTGCTGTTGAAGTCGTCTTTGCAATGTGCTTATTGTACAAGCCAACGTCATAATGTTATCTATTTATTTGCATGTCATAGTACTGAGTGTGTTATTCTAAGTTATTGTAGGCACTATACTACCTCTAAATTTGCCTAACCCATACCCAGACACCGTTAAGAAAAAAAGGCAAAGATATCATGGATGTTGGCCTAGCTATAGTTGTTACAATATCCTCTTGGCAGGACGTCTTTGTAGTGGGGAGCAGCCTGCCCAACCCATCCCTCTTCAGTGCGAGGACTTGAGGAGAGAAGCGCTCACACGCACTGTACACACCGCGCCTGCTCCAGTGCGCAGCCTATAATTCAGTCCCGACAAGAGACACCTTCAACCAGGTCCGGGACTCTACCCTAGGCTATTGCGGAGGCCTTTCTAACAGGACATGCCTCGAAGAGCGAATCTTATAATATAGGAACAACGAATCCAATATCTTGCAAAGGAAAAGGTTGACATCACGTGAATGATTTGGAGCGGTGGAGGTGAATAAACAAACGGAGCAGATGTAAACATTACCATGCCCTGTCTCCATCGCCACCACCACATTCGTTTAGCTTCCTCTTCATTTTCCGCACAGACGCAGGATGCGTGGAATTATTGATTAAAAGGGAGGTGGAAGAGACATCCAATGTGGACGGGAGGAGAGGAGACACTCCTAACACTGACAGTCACATCAACTTAGTAGCGGCCCTTCAGATGATAGTCGTTTATATTTGAAGGACAGTAATTAAGTCGTCTCCAGGATAGCACGGGCCACTGTGAGCGAGTGCATCCGACCTGAGTTTGCTGGCGAAATGCGGGACTGCTGCTCGGAGGAATCATCCTGACTTGAGGGGCTTTTACCAGACGATTGTTATAACAGTGAATTCGTGAAAATTATTTCGTTGTCTAGAAGACGGCTATTCCTGAGGCTTTTTTTGCAACCTTTGTTTCATCGTTTGCTAAAGGACTCTGTGCAGAGAGAGCTGATCATATTTCACTTAGCTCTGACATTTTTATTCTAACAAAATTATGTGGAAAACATTTAAGTATTTATAGGCTATGTTCCTTGAATTGCATAACAAAAGTTTTGGGTTGAAGAGTGTAGGCCCTATGGGGTTGAGTGTGTGTCTGTGTTTACAGTAGGCACAAGTAGCAGCCAATTCGCTCAAGCTTATTATGTGAGTTAGACATTTTATTAAAATCTGAATGAATGTGTTGGAGGTTGTTTCCTCCACTGGTATTGCGCTCTAACAGCTGGACAGTGTACCATTCACTAGGGGACAGGTGTGTTGTCCAACTAGTCAGGTGGGGAATGAACCCAGAGGTCCTATCCACTTTAAGGCTTCTTGACTTTATGTGCAGGTTTTAATGTTTAGTGCAAAAACAAATATTTTTATGCAAGTCAGCCTTGCATGACTGCCTGGGGGAGCAAGTCATTTCTTACAGCATCTTCTAACATCCGAACATGGGCACCAAACAGACCAAAGGCGCTGGGGGCCAAGAGGCTGGGCCCAGCCCACAGCACGGGTGGAAACGGACCCCTACCAAGGAGAGGGGTGACATCTTCACCTCCTTCATGTTGAGGTCAGGGGACCGGCTGAGTCGTGGAGGGACCCCTCCGCCCTACCAGCGCCGCATAGGCATGATCCAGGAGATGATGCTGATGGCCAAGCAAGGCAAACAGGACAAGGCCACAGAGATGCTGCAGACACTCCGGCAGGTGTGTGTATATGTAAATGTGTGTGTGCGTGTGTTTGTACACCTGTATGCTCCTGTGTTCATGTGTGTGTGTTTGCCTGTGTGTGTGTGTATTAATGTGTGTGCACCATCTACTATGACCCCAAATCCGATATAAGTTCACTGCAAATCCTAGTCTGAGTCTAGATGACATCATCTCTGATAGAAGTCCTTCACTAGGCCAGGGAGACACAGATGGGAGGGAGGAGAGCTCCAGAGGACAGAGGAGGGCGGACTGATGCAGAGACAGGTAGAGAGGTGTGATCAACAGAAAGCTGGTCGTGCTTTCTCTCAATTAGGTTGTGATTAGCTCTACCACAGGAACACTGACACTGTGTGCATCTGCCCAAGCACACCTCGCTTTAAGGGACATATATAACTATAGTGACTGTCTGTCTGAGTGAGGAGAGGACGTGAATACTAAGGAAGACCAACTCAAACTACACCTCCATTCTATGTCACACCAGGGTCGTGTTCATTAGGCACGAAACTGAAGAAAATGGGAAGAAATGGGGAGGTGCTACCTGAACTTGTCCAATATGAAATGGTCGTTGTTGTCATTTTCCGTTGCACAATGTTATGAAATGTTTTGCTAGGGTGTGCCCTGATGAATACGACCCAGCATTCGAATACAGTTAAATGATCAAAGGATATTAGATCAACTTAGATGACAGATAGACATTTACACCAACAGCTATCTACAGTATCTGCTCTTGTTGCGATACCATAACAAGCCGAAGAGATGCATCCTGCAACTCTCCCGTGTTCCTCCCGTCCCACACCTCCTTTGCCCCTCTGTCCATGGTTTTTTTGAGAAAGCATAACTCATTCTGGGCTGTCATGTTGCTGAAACAGATGCCCAGAGGCTCGCCTTCACTGCTGATGCAATCAGAGGAGTGGCACAATTTATGGCCCCTCTGTGATGCCATTCAGCCTGGCTCGATCGGCCTGTGGGAGGATGGAAAGAGAGCAGGAAAGTAGGGAGAGAGAGGAGGAAAGAAGAGAGGGAGTGGAGGTAAGAGGTAGGGAGAGATAGTTTGAAGAAGAGTTACTCCTACTAATGTGCTTTTACCTCATAACATTTATCTCGAGACATAATTGAGAAAGAGAACTTCACTATGCATGCAACTTCGGGATGTGGTTTAGGCCCACATTAAGATCCAGATCCCACCAGACCTAAACACTTTATATTGAATATCGGACATGATTTCATCGATTGGTTCATCCCTTTTTTTGATATCACTCTCAAGGGTAATCGGTTTTCATTACTTCAACACTAGGTATAATTTGTTACGATCAAATTAGTCTCACGTAGACAGCCTGGCCGTCATATTGTCGCATTCCCTCTATACATTTTGAGCTTTGCAAAAATAGATGCCTGGAAATAGAGGCTGTGTTACAATCAATCCATCCATGTAGTATCCAATCTGAGAGGATGGAGGTTCCAGGTTGGAGACACCGGCTGTGTAAACTTAAATCTTAAGGGTTATCCTGTGGATCATAGTGGTGAGGCCAGACAATCCTCACCCCTTAAGGATGTCTGGTGCCCTCATTGAACGTGTCCCGCTTATAAATATCTTGGCATCTGGATTGACAAAAAGCTATCTTTCAAAAAGC